AAACACCAATTAGTGGTTATCGGAGAACTGACATCAGATTCTGAATCCTGAGGCTATTATGAAAAAACTTTGACCGCGGGATTTCCTATTAAAAAAAAAATCAAACAATTTACTAACAAAATCCATGGTACTGAAGAGATATTTACTGCTTTTACGCCTCAGTGGAAAGGGATACGGAGAAAGGAATATTTACAAAGTAAAGACGATCTTCAACCGTCGAACAGACAAGAGCATTTTAATGTGTTTTCGTTATAAAAGGTCTGGACATGGACAAATCTTTTGAAAAAGCCCACTAAGGGGCTTGTGCAGTCAAGGTCACTTCACTTATATTTGTACACTCTCCAATACTGAAAAGCTAACATGCGTTCGATGCAAGAAAGACCACGTTGCTTCCTCGAAACGCTATGAACTTACCCAAAAGTTCACAAAAGAAATCCAGATATAAACCCTTTACCTGAAAGGAGAAATCTTTGCACAAGATACGCTCTAAATCGGAAGAAATCACCTAAAGACAGCTTACTTACTGAGCATGAGCACACTGAAGCAGCGGGATTCTAAAATTCTCCGAACTGATTTTTTTCACTAACTTCATTAGTAAATTTTTGGAAATTGCTGACAAATGCAAGAAGATAGAATCACTAGCAGAAAAGTTAAACTGGCATTCCTGATTGTGGAGATATTTCTAGAAGCAGAAAATTAATCTGCTTCTTGCTTGATGATTTTCTTATGTTTGAGCTAGATGCGAAGAATGGTGCTACTTATCTGACAGTGCGTCTTTTCACAACAGAGCTGTAGCTAGGGTTTTTAGCGCCTGGGCACAACTGAAGAACTCGCGCCTTTCTTGTCTGCCAAGAGTGGAACGTATTTCATTTTGAAAATTCGTTACATTAATTTGGCGCCCCTTGGGTGCTGCACCCAGGGACAAATGTCCACCCTCTAGTTACGCCCCTGCTTCACAGTTAGAATGATTTTCTGCTTTCATTCAGACCAGAGTCAGACCAGAGATGTTCTGGGCCAGAGATTCTCAACCTTTTCGTCACATGGAACCCTTTCACCATTGATGGAAGATCATTATCCCTCCTTTCCAGAACTAAAAAAAATAACATTTATCTAGATTTAAATAAATTTTCATTGTGCCTTTAAAAATTAAGCAACAAAGAGTGTAATTACTGTTGATAAATATCGAAACCTGAATAAAAGTATTTTTTATAATCATAAACTAACACTTTTCATAGAGGTCGCAATACTCGCATGAATATCGTTATAAACGACCTTATATAGTATGTATATATATATATATAAACCAGGTCGCAATACTCACATGAACATCCTTATGAACGACCTTATGGGGAAAAAAAAAAAATACAGATAAACACAAGGCTGACCGCATTCCTCCTGAAACTATGAAATTCCCTCCAAAGGAAAAATTATCCCCTAGTTGAAAACCCCTGTTCTAAACTTTTCACCTCTGCACCTTTTAGCCACCCTACATGGGGTTCTAATCCAAACTTTTTATTATCAGGCGCCCTCAGGGGCGTAATCTTCATAGTGGAGTCGATAATCTCGGCATAGTGGATGCTGAAGATGTCGCCACTAATACAAACAGCTCTAAATATAGTATTAGGAGATCACTTCCAGCGTCTTAAATTGACAAAGAAACAAATTTTAGTTTCTGCCACTTGTCTGTGAATGCTCTGTCTTGAGCACTGAAGGACAGCAAGTCAGTGATATATTATACTTGATATCTTGACTGCACAATTTTCATTTGAATGTTTAACTGTGATCTCAACTTCTATGCAGGTTAAATGCACTGTTTCAGCAAATTTGGAAAATTGCTGATAAATGCAAGAAGACAGAATCACTAGCAGAAAAGTCAAAACTGGCACTCTTGAGTGTGGAGATATTTCTAGAAGCAGAACATTAATCAGCTTCTTAATCAAATTAATCTGCTTTTCACAACATTATCAGAAAATTAATCTACTTTTCACAACACTGGTAAACTACAACATCACTTCGACCAAGATCGCTCTTTCTATCGGGACAATATGCTTTAGGTCTTTCTTTTAACTATTCGAAGTGCTGTTAAATATATTTGAAAGGTAATTTTGTGCACAACTTACCATATCAAAGTAACTAATTTAATATTGCTATCAATCAGAACACTGGTTCTTTCAAATGTTACACGTTCTGCCAGTGAATAATACCTATAATATCAATGATATCGACATTCTAATTATTTGCATAACTTTTTAAACATGCTCAGTTTCATACCAATAGCTGAAATTTTTATAAGTGCATATATCTTGAGCAAAAGAATGTATTTTATTTTTTATTAAACTAAGCCATACACAAACTATGAAATTAATGCAACCACTTAATCAGAAGTGATTTTTATTTACAAAACTTTGTGTATAAGTAATATTTAAATGTTTCTAATAATCATTTACAAATTCAAATACAGAAAATTAGATATACAGAAATACACATTAAACCTTAATATACGGGAATTAGATAAAACAATCAAAAAAGAATCTTATAAATAAAAACAGTTTTATTTTGGTTGATATTTAAGCACTTTTAATATAGTCAAATATATCACATTTAAAGTTGTTTCAAGTAAATTAATTCAATAAAATACATACAGTTGGTACCATGTTTATTTATTTTAGCTGCATTTCATTAAAAAGTAACACATTTAATAAATAAATTTACACGCTAATAATAAAATTAATACCATGTGATAATACAGACTACAAGTAGCATAAATTCATAAAAATAGCACATTAATACACAGAATCACATTTATTCCATATCATGGTAAACAACCTAGTGCAAAGGTAATAAGTACCAACAGCAAAATGTAAGTACTCATAAACAAAATTTTTTTAATTTTGCAAATGTTAAAACATTAAAATATTTAAGTATCTGAAAACTGCATATATAGCTCTTTAAAAATTTGTGCATTTATCCTATTTTCAAATAAGTATGGTTTTCTTTTCAAAGTACTATGCATATCACATAATAAGAAATAAATAATATTGATATTAACAACCTATTGACTGTTCATTTACATAAATCTGCAAGATAACAGTTATGAAAGCAATAATAAAACTGAAGACATGCTGTAATACTCATTTAATACTTAACAAGCAAAGACAGCCCCTCCACTCAAAAGCATCAATTCTGACTACAGCTAATAGCATTTAAAACATATTTCGAAATAGAAAAAAGTGTATTATATTTTTGATTTTTAAATAATGGTTTAATAATTGTTAATATAGACAAATCTCACTATAAGAGCACCCTTAAGGATGGCAAAAATGAACTTATAAGTTAAATTAATCTTAATCTGGGAAAAATGATTTCGCACACTACCATGACAAAATTATGTTATAGTATGCAGAAAAGCAGATACTTTAAACTAAATATTGGCATTCAGTTTAGAATTTTAAACATTTAATGTTTAATTTAATACAGTTAGTATAATTAAATTTAAATAAATAATAGCATCCTGCTTAAAAATTACTTACTGATTTTTTATTTATGCAAAACACAGTGTAGAAACTTGAGCTAATTAAAACTAGCAGAAGACATTATTTAAAGTAAAAAGAAAAAAATTATAATTAAAAAATTTAACAGCTTTTCTTTAATTGTTAACAGTTTTGAAATGTTTTTCAGTAATAACAAATACTCTTAAATGTCTTTTCATAACTGTCTAAAAAATTTTATACTTTAGCTTTAGATACAGAGTCTTTTTATATTAACATCTTCAACATCAACTTGCATTGCTTAGAGATCTATTTCTAACCAGAAACTGAGACATCAGAATTACATGGTTGATAAATCAAAACACCATAGTAAAATCAAATAATAATACATTAATTGAATCAAGTGAGCTCACCAGCATCTATGTGATGCTCAATGGCTAACATCAAAAGACACTGAGATTATTTTGACAAAAATACAACATTTAATAAAAGTTAATACTACAACATTTCACTAGTGCATTGCATTCAGTTTAAAACCATTCATATTACACCAGACTTTTTATGTCATAGTTGACAATTCACTTTAGCTTGTTTTCTTAAAATGTTTAACCAGATTTCCTAACAATTTTTATTTACATCAGTTTCCAAAGATGTTAGTTATAAAGGAAGGAACATCACTGTCTTCTTGTTCTGCTGAGTCAATAAATGGAAAGTGGAGCTTCAGTCAGTATTTATTCAGCAGAAAATACATCATTTATCTTAACAAGTCTTCTTCAAAAAAACTAACCTTAGTTCTCTCTCACTTCCCTATTTTTAACATTCAAATACTGATAAATTATTAAATTTTACCAAAAGCATTATGCAAAATCAACAAGAATTACTATTCAGAACTTAAAATATTGTATATTTGAACTAAATTTTGCATGGAGTATAAGGCAGTGTAAATGCATTTCTTTTCTAATGATTCAAATAAACTTAGATGCTGAGCTTCATAATGGACATTTTAAATGCTCACCAGATCTGAGGTGTGACAGTTAACAATGTAACTAAAAAGATCTGAATATGAAAGATATGTCGTGGTTTTTAACATTTGTAAATTGGTACCTAAAGTATTAATTACACTAATGTGAAAAAATTTTAACTTTAAAAAGCCATTTTAAAAACAGAACCTAGAAAGGGAATGAAAATCAGAATATTAGCATCAAGTGAATAATCTTGTAATTTATAACATAAAATGCTGGGTACTTTCTAGCTATCTGCATTCCCCCCCCCTAAAAGGAAAGTTGCCAACTCATTGATAACTAATTTTTCAACAAACTATATTATATGTAAGGCAAAGCCATTTTGAAAATGGTTGTGCACTAATAATTCCATAAAAGAGCAATGAATCAATAAAATTAAAATATTAGGAAACATCCATAATGAAAACACCATTTAGCCTTGCCCACAAGCCATTATTCCGATCACTCAAGAACAAATGATAAAAAATAACAGCACATAATAATGCAATTCTTTTTTTTTTTTTTTAAATTTGTCAAACTCTACAATTCCATTGTACTTTGTTAGAAGGAAAAAAAATTTTGTCAATGCAAAAACAAGCACTAATCAGAAAAATAACTATCAAATTTGGAAGGTGAAAGTCCATGGGTACCACAACTTATGTCTGCTGTACATATACTATGCTTGCCACAGGAATATATTTTGGTGATGCCCTGGTTTGCTACAGAACAATTTTGCTAAAATAGTGCATTGACTCATAAATATTTTTCAGTGAATGCAAATGCTCAGAAAGAGCCAAATGTTGTTACAAAAATTTCAAAACAATTAAAAATTGGTAAATTGTATTAAATTTTAAAACAAAGATCATTCAAACAGCAACCATGTGGCATGCTGTAACTGCATATGAGTAAAATAAGGAAAAGTTATGAGACGAGAAACCTTTGTCAGCATAAAATATGATCTAACTATAAAGTAGATGCTAGGTAACCCATGCACTAGGTTAAAAGAAACGAAAATTTAAGAATTTCATTGATGAATTTTCATAAAATATTTGTACACAAATTACATCAGATTCAAAATTATGCTCCACCATTTCTAAATAAAAATAAAATATGAAATGCAAAAGGGATGGAATGTATGTCATTCATTATCGCATCCAAACACTACAAAATTTTATATTAGTAAAAAGTATATAGGATATGTAAAGGATTATAAATAAAATTTAACAATTTTCTTGTTTTTGCACACATGTAATATGCATAGCAAATCTTTTCCTTCTCATTACTTTCATTTTAAAACACATTTCATGCATTTATAACAATTTCAAAACACTGCAGATATTGAAAACATAATTCTGACATTAGCCAAACTAAAATTTTATTAATCATTTCTCAGCAAAACAAATTTCAGTAATCGACCGAAAAGTGTCTATTTTTTTAACAAAGTTTGAAAGAAAAGTTCATTTTTAGATGAATTATACATGAGAAATCATTTATTTTCAAAAATAAAATATATACAGAGACAGATAAAAATTACAATACCCTGTAATATTGACTTTTTAACACATACCAGCAACAATAAACATTTTCCATTTCGTATTTCTTACACATATAGAAATTTTAGTTATAACTTAATATTTCATCTCTCTACCATCTATTTTAAAACAAGAAATGGTACAGAAAAAATATTTTTTTGGTATATTTTAAAACAAGGAACAAACGAAAATTTGCAAATTACATCAAAAGCTATTTTGTATGCTTTCGTTAAGAAGATTATAAAATTTCATTAATTTGAAATACAATTTTTCTAAGTTAAATGTTTAGCAAATCCAACACAATGTATCTATACGAAAGCAGATGCAAAAAGTATTCATTCATCTAAATCATTCATTCTATCGTTAGAGAGTAGAAGAATGAAACAGATGAATGAATCTATAAGAAAGCAGAGAGTGTATCTGTAAGAAAGTACATTAAAGTACTTTATAAACTTGCTGTTACTATCAGCTAATGCCATCTAAAAACAGAAAAAGTAAACAAAAATAAATGACATGGTTACTGAAAACCTAAAACTTTGAAAATGAGATGTCCTGCGCAAAAAATAGGGTTGCTTGCATGATGTATCGGCAAAACTGTTAAGTGGTTACCCCTTTGGGAAATAAGCTCATGAATACGTATTTTATTTGAAAATTTGACAACTGCATATGTAATAATTTTGCTTCAATAATTATGTGCCTAAATATATGTGCTGAGAGATCTCCCTCACATAAAGTAAGAATTAACATCTTAAAAGAATTATTTATGAGGATAAGAATGGTTAAAATTCCTAAAATAACCAAAACTAAGAACATTACTTAAAAAATACTACAAAAGACAAAAAAGATAAGTTGCTACATTGAGTTACATAAGTTTCAAAACAAAATGAATTTCAAAAGGTTCAATGTGTTGACTACCAATACCAATTCAAGAGAACCAATACAGATTGTGATCTATATTTTCACAAACAAGGTAATTAACTTTAAAATGTAATTTTTTGAAAATTTAAAACAAAATTATGTACATATCTACAACAATGCTTATTAAAAATATGTACTTAAGTACTTTTAAAGTCATGTGTGATAGATTATATTATAAGAGATTTAATAATTTTCATGAGTTTGTTTGCTTGATGTTCAGATGAACTAATCACTAAATTACTAAATTTAGATTTGCATTTGCTACATTGCTATAACTTTTACATATCATAAAGGTTTCTATGAAAATAAACTGCAAGCAAATGAAAATTAACATAGATAAAATTTCCTAATTTAAAATATTAAGCAGGATACTTACTAATTACATAAACCAAAATAAAATGCATGAAATACTTATGTGAGACATTTACTCCAATGAAAAGACAAATACTTTCCTTTCAGTTATATATTTTTTAAAAGTTTTAAATCTACATATAAAATTATACAATTGACCACCAGTATCTTCATATACAAACTCTACAGCATTAGTAGCAGTATGAAGTTTTCTTCCAATCACTTCATATTACAAATAATGTTACTAAAATTTCTACATTGATTATAGGTGGAGCAATTAGTTAAAAATTAATAACTGTTCCAAGACATACTGTTATTATTATGATAGTATTGCTAAAAACAATCATACTAAAAAATTTATATTTTTTTTAAATAGATAAAAGCTACTTACATGAAGTATTCTAACTCGTGAAATAACAACATTTTTATGTATAAAATGTTCTACAAATTTTTAACGAAATGGAAAGTAGTAAAGTTTTACATTGAACAACGTTAACATTAAAATATTTTTCCCTTGCTTCTGGATATGAAATAACATAATTATTCACATAACAGAATCATGATACATATTTTTATCAGATACTTTTCTCATGGAATCTCTGCAAAAAATTCTGAAGTCACAGAAATATATTGAAAATTAAACTGTACATAGTGAAACCAAAAATAATAAATTATTTCCAGTGAAATATCAAAGATTTTGATATAGAGCATATGAAGATCTTGAGAAAATTCCATATATTTATATATATGATATGATATTTAGAACAAACACAAAACAGCACGTAGATTTACATAATAAAATACTTTGGTTCCATCACATTAACATTTTTGAGGCACACAGCAATTTTTAAAATTCAGTACATCACAAGTACAAAAATAGGTTTTATAAAGAATGTGCAAAACCTTCCAAGCACCAAACCTAAATTTCTCATTCACAAAAACAGCCTAAACTATATATATCAAATACGACACAGCATCATCACATTTAATTGTAAAATTGGAATGCTGCACTAATCCATATAACTGAGACTGACAAATCTTCCACACTTTAATTGTTACTTTTTTTTTTTTTTTTTTTTTAATTACAAACTTTTCTTTTTCTGTATAATATTGTGAATAATTGAGAAGACTTGTTTAAAGTTTTTCTTATTCCATAGTGGTTGTAATTTCATTACTCAGACAGTAATGTAAAAGTGAAGATATGCTAGAGTGAAATTTAGGGAAAAAAATATGAATTTTTCACAAATTAACAAAAACTTTTAAGTCATGAAATAGTTAAAAATTTTTGAGTAAAAGAGCAATGGTGACATTTTCAGCAGCAGTTCTTCATAATTTCATAAAACTACTAAATGCAGCTTCAAACTGATTCAGTTTTATAAGTACTGGAAGCATGAAAGGAAAACATTCTGCTTGGAAATGTTAACATTAACTTCCATTAAAAAAAAAAAAAAAAAAAAAATAAGATCTAATGTTTGGCAGTGTTGCCAAAGATGAGTGCTATTTTTAAAAGCAAATACAAGAAAACTGTATGTCATTTCTGCTGGTTGTTACCACTGTGGTATATAATACATAATATCAGGGTGATGAGTGAAGACTTTGACAGCTATTAAAGGAATTAAATTTGTTTTCAATGTAATTACAATGACTGGTATAAACTGGTCATCTAATATAAGATATATAAACTCTCAGTAACTGAATAACAAGAAATATGCATTATATTTTCAAATGTGATTAAAAATATTTTTTATATTTTTAAGGATGGCAACAGTATTTCGACTCTTTGTTATAATCAGCACCAAAAGCCTACATTGAAACAAGAAAATACCAGTATACTTATCATTTCATTCCAGGATAGGCTACCCCTTGGTTTCGTCAAGGTGATGCATCAAGGGTTAAAAAAAAAAAAAAAAAAAAAAAAAAAAAAAAAAAATTTCAAATAGTGACTTATCAGTGTGAGTAGTCAATAGTGACTCACTAGTAGTTTTATAAAAGAGGAGTGCATTAATAAAATTTTAAATACAAAAATTAAGAACGAGAAAAATATAAATCAAACTTATGTTTAGTTTACTTCTTGATCTCCAGGTCATGGTTTCTAAAAATTTTAATACACTTTGAAAATGCACTATGAAGGCTCTGTATATAGTTCTATATTTCTTGCACTACATCAATTCAATGGAATTGGGAATCAAGCAAATTAAACTTGCAGATGATAGTGCACAAACACCCTGTCAATCTTCTTAATAAAGCACTTGAACTTTGAAGTAATTAGTTTTTCATCCCTGTACTATTTAAACATAGTTCTCACCTTTTAGTTTTCCAAATGTCTGAAACCTATCTCAAACTCAATTAACTAGCCAGTCATATTGAATTCCCAAATGCTTAGTGACATTAAATATTAGGGCAAGGAGATCTGTTCCCAATCATAAAAGACCTGTTTTGGTTAAGAAACAAAAGTCGCTTTCTTTCATAAGGGGACTTCGTACCCCAAAACTGATGAAATTACCGATTTTTAAATTTTTTGCTAAAAAAATACCTTAATACCCTTACTACAATGAAGAGAAATTTTTTAATGATCTCGTGACAATAAATGGCACAAAAGGCTTTTACAAATTTTGATAGTCCTTTAAATGCCACATCCCCTCAGTGTTTGTATATATTTATATGTATACATCTGCCACCATCAGCAAACTCTGTTTACATGTAAAAACTGATTTATTTAAACACAAAGTGAAGTTGGAAAAAAATTTGTTTTCATCTTTAAACTGACTAGTTTATATATATATATTCAGCTCAGTAAATATTTCTATGTGTATCATCAGTCAGCTTTGCTATGCTTCTTCAAAAATTGAAATTATTTGTGAAAAACATAAACAGAAAGAGATGGCAGAATGAAAGTGATCAAGTTCCTGACTGCAGCATTATTGAAATAGTCCTGGAAAAACATTAAACTTTTTAATTACTTAAAATACACCTAAATTGATTTAAACCACAGTTTACAAACAGCTAAAAGAGAAGAAATCACATATGCTGCTAAGTGGTTTTAAATAAAATGCTTTATGTCTGTTCACATTTCAAATTTCGCTCTTTGAAAAAATAAATTAAACAACAAATTAATACTACTAATATTGATTATAAGTATTTTATAGAAAATATATTACAAATAATTCGCGTATTAAAAACATTCAATAATTCATGTTTTAAAAAAACAAAAACAGGTAAAGAAAAGTTCTACTTGCATGTTATGATTTTTTTTTTCAATATTTCTGGTTTTAAGATAAGGTTTTAAACAAAAGCTTGTAATTCATGCTTATATTAACCAATTGAACAGTACTAGATATTTATTTTGTATATATACGTATTGAAATTCAATAATACAATTTTTAAGAAATTTGAAATGATTTAATGGCCATTCAGATAGTTTACATACAGTAAACTGTGTTCTCTCAGTTTGCACTTTTTCAATAAATCTTTTTACTTAAAGTCCTAAAACTTATACAGATACGGACTCAATTATTTAATATTTTACTGCTTATTTAAAATAATATTATTAATAGAAACAAGGATAGGTTTTGCAAAATAGTGGAAAGAAAAATAATTGGAAGTGAAAATGCGATTGAGATCCTACTTTTTTTTCTCAAAAGTTTTTAATAATTTATATAAAAATGTGCTTTTTATTTATCCTCAGAAACTAATTTATGAATTGCAAAATCGATCCATAAAGTTATTTAGAACACTCTAATAAATACAATAAAAAATTTAGGACAAAACATCGAAAACTGTAGAAGTAAAACATTTTAATTGTTATATTATTCTCAAAAAAAAATTTTTTTTTTTAATTACTCACAATTTTTTTTTCAGCTTAAAATCATTTTGTCTTACAAAACCACTTAATGATATTCATAAAAAGTAGATGATTATCTACTTTAAAAAAAGTTCTTAAAAAAAAAATCAAAAGGTTCCAACTCCCTATAATAGTAAAAAGCATGCAAGGGTTATCTGCCTAAGGGGAGGGAAGTCTTCATGGAGGGCTTTCTAAAGGAAATTAGCTGATATCTATATTCCACATCCACAAAAATATCCATGCACACAGCCCATTCACCAAATCGAGATCTAACTGCCAGTGTTCAGTGACTTTATTGCTTAGCCACCAGTAGGCTAAAAAAATATATGTTGCAAAAGATTTTCACTTTTATGAGCAAAAGCAATTTAATTTTCCAAATGGCTATACAATCCAAAGAATTATTCAACACTCTTTCTGCATCCATTCATCCAGCGACAAAAGTAACAGATGATACTTAACTGAATATATGCATTTGCAAAGCATGTGAACAGAAGAAAATTCTCTAACTTCATGTACAAATTAACAATGAGAAAATATATTCAGGGAGCAAGAAAACATATATATATAATGAAAAAATATATTATATAATTTCGATCATGACATAATTTTAAATTCAACGATGAATGTCATGGTTGCCATAATAATGAAAAACTTATCATGAATAAAGAATTGCCATGCTTGACACTTTATTTTAAATTTGGTGGTTTTAAACTCAAGCGGTAGCTTGTTCTGGAATTATGCCCTTATCATATATTGTTGGGGTAATTGCAATCAAACAAAACACTTAAATAGGGCATTTCATGATTTGTATTTAGATGCTAGAGAAGAAACTATTACAGCATTGTTAATTGTTGTTAAATCCAAGATAATATGTAGCAGTATAGTTCAGGACAGCATGAAATTGTAATATAATTTTTTAAAATATTATATGAAATAATAACAATTTTTCTCTCATTTAGATGAAATGTCACAAACAATCACAGATAGGACAATTAAAATTAATAAAGGCATTATTTCAAAAAACTATTATTACTTAAAAAATTTATTACACATTATATAACTTTTCTGAAAATATTGCTAGCACACACACACAGTAATGTTTGGTATTCATAAACACACTGATACATTTATAAAGATAATGATATACTTTATGAAAAATGAAAATCTCAGTTATATGGAAGATAGTGAAAGAGAAAATTGATGCTATGTAAAATACTGAACACATTACTAGTATTTATTTCTAAACTTAACCTGAATCATCTGACCTTTGAATGTCTTTTAGCACCATATCAATAATTACTAGCAGCATCTAGAAATATCACTGTTTAACAGTATGCTTAGTAATATTTTGCTCATCTTTTACTATTTGTGGCAGCTCACTACTTGACTGTAGAGTTGAAGTTTTAGTATAGACTAAGTTTTGTGGCAATTCAATAGAACTTGTAGGAATAGATCCACCTCTATCAAAAACAATATTTGAGGACGTTTGTGTAAAGTGCTTATCACTAGAGACATGTTTCATAAGTGTTTGTTCTTCAACTTTTTGCTTTTTTATACGTGCACGTACAATTGCCAAGTGACGAAGTAAGTACTCTTCTTTGGGTGCCAAAGAAACAGCTTTTAAAAGACAAGCTTCTGCATACTGCAAAAGACCACGCTCTACGTACACCACACACAAATTATGAAGAGCTTGAATGTTTGTTGGTTCGAAACCAAGAATTTTTTCATAACACTAAAGATAAAAGAAAAGCAAAAACATTTTTCTTACATTTCTCTGACATTAAAAACATATTAAAAATAACAATATATTAATTATTGGTTCTTGAAATATTTCATATTTCAAAAGTTATGATAATAAATGAAAACATAAAATGACATTAATAAGGATGAAATCTGTCAGAATTTCATCACACAGATGCTAAACAGTTTACCAGGCTGTCAAGGATAAGTTCCTATCCACGTTCTCAAATAATATGATATAGTTAGAGATACACATAACTGAATCTTCCTATTTCATTTGTTTTCTTATAAACAAAAACTAAAATTTTCTGTTTAATCTATTTCTGAATGAATCTAATGATTAGGGAATGAGTTATTACTAACTGCTTCCAAACATTAATAATGCAATAACAGGAAAAGAGTTTTTAAAATAAAAAAATGAATTATCATAAACTAGCAGTTTATTACATCAGTATTTGTGTTTCAAAAAATAATTTTTTTAATATTTAAAGATATTTCTTCATAGATATATATATATAATATCTAAACTAAAAATGTGCCACATCCTATATATAGATAACATTGCAATACCATATTTTAGTTGATAAATTAATCAGCTATAAAATTTCTGCTTACAGATATTACTGTACATAGGTAATGGATAATATATATGAATGGGCAATACTTACAAGATACAATATCTTCAAGAGGTGTAATTTACTTTTCATAACAAAAAGAGTAACCCTAGCTTTCAGATGTTCATAAAAAACATTGTAAAATGTAGATACACTACCCGACATTAAAAATGCAACACCAAGAAGGAGTGGCCTGAAAATTATGCAAATTTTAGGGCAGATGCATGTCACCAAGTTATGCGAATCGTGTGAAATGCACAGCTCTCCTGCACATGTTGAAGAAGATACAAGGGAAGGAACCTGCAGAATGTTCAATTTTCATGCCGTGATTTCTACAACGGAAATCATAGAAAATTTGTTCTTGTCTCACAGAACGCGTGTGATAGCAGAGAATGCCAGGTCATCATCAATGGAGGCAGTTTCAGCAGACAGATAATTTTTATGAGGGGAATGGTGATTGGACTAAGAAAGGCAGGTTGATCCATTTGGCAAATCTCAGCTGACACACGTGAACGCATCCACAGTGCACTGGCTGTGGTGGGGATGGTTGGAACAAGGTAATGTGGGAAGTTCAAGGAGTGCTGGTGCAGCCAGAAGGATGTCAGCACCCATGGATCGACATATCCACTGACAAGCAGTGGTGCACCCACAAGCCACATCTACCTCCATTCTGCAGCATGTTCAAGACATCCTGGATGTTCCCGTATTGACATGAACCATTTGCCGTCAATTGGTGGCTATAGACCTGCATTTGTGAGGCCCATTAAGAAGACTACCATTGACCCCACATCATAGATGCTAACGTCTGCCAGGCTCAAGCGATGTGGTTAAAGGAATGGCACAAGGTCATGTTCTCAGATAAGTCACACTTTTGTTTCTCCAGTGATAGTCGCCGCATGAGTGTGGCGTCGATGTGGAGACAGCTCCAATCCGGCTGCAATTGTGGAACGCCCCATCACGTGATGGCATCATGTTTTGGGGTCAATTGCATATGATTCCAGGTCACCTTTAGTTTGTATTCAGGGCAGGGCACTATGATGGCCCAATGATACATGGCTGATGTGTTGCAGCTGGTGACAATGCCCTTTATCAGCAGGATAAAACCCAACCATACACTCCTCACATCAGCCAACGTGCTCTGCAAGATGCTTCCTGGGCCCCAGTTCTCTCCTGATATCTCACCAGTCGAACACATTTTGGATGTGATTGGATGCCATTTGCAGACTCTGCAATTCCGCCATTCAGAAGACGAACTGGGCATGGAGAGCCATTCCTCATGCCATAGTCTCAATGACTCTGTACCTAGATGTGTTGCTTCGTGTACTGCCCTCCAAGGTGGTCCTACAAACTGAGCCAACAATATTCTCACTCTGTATCATGCATATCATTTCAAAATAAAGATCACTTATTGTTCAATGATGTCTCTTTTTCCCAAGTTTCATCACTTTCTGGCCACTCCTTCTTGGTGTTGCATTTTCAGAGTAAGGTAGAGTATAATGTACCTTTTCAAAAATTCAAATTTAAACATATTTCCTTCATTAATATAGTTACTTCAAAGAAATAAAATTTATCTCATAAAAATCTCACCTTCTGTGCAGCATCCAAATCTTTCAGTTGATTTATATAAATATCACCAAGGAGTATCAAACCTTTTATGTGATCATGATGGTACTGTAATTTTAAAAAAATAATAATAAAAACATTTACTAGATCACATCTAAAAGTTTATCACATCAGCATATTACTTTGGAGACAGTATTCAGAAACGAAAGACCACAAATAAGTATTGGAAGTTTAATACTTCTTTTTATTTCCTTCATTTTTCCATATTCCAATTATTTTATTCTAAAACAACAGTTTTAGAAGAAAAACTAAAAACAAGTAGACTACTTCATATATACTTATTTAGAGAGAATCATGTTTATCTGGCAACACTATTTTTTGCCACTTAGGTGTATATTAGGTTATAATTTAAAAATTTTGCTTTTAACTTTAATAAAATAAAAACACTTCTTCATGAACAGATTCAAAAAGCCATACCACTCAAAGGATAAAGTGTATGGTTCATAAATTCATGAACTTTTCAAGATCATTATGAAATTCTGAACTTTTTATGCATTCTCTTTAAATACCATACTATTAACTTCAAATTTGTTCAAATGTACATTTTAATAACATACTTGCATATTAAAATATAAAAACTTAGTTTTCATTATTTAAAATGAATTCATTCAACTATTTCATTTGGTAGTTAAGGATAAATACTTTATCTTACTGCTTAATCATCAGCTGACTTTAAGTCTTTTATTTATCATTGTTAAATTATCTTTAAATACTTTATCCTATTCAAGTACTATTTAAAAAATAATCTATTTACCAGCATGTCTCATTTATCAGCATATAACATATATTTGATATTTTAGTCAAGTTTTCAACAACCAAATGATTATTCTAAAATACACAATATACAGCACTAGAAAAAGTTTAAAAGTTTTATTAATTGTAACAATGACACAAATTTTCATCAAAACTGTTTGAAACATTTTAAATAATTAAACATACTATAAATTATATCAAGTAGATACATTCTTCTATGATGCACTGCTGCAAAGAACTTAACGACCAATTTATAAGATAATAGTTACTGAAAACCCTTGTGGCGACTCTAAGTGAACCTGTGCTTACTCGCTAACTGCATGCCCGTATCTCTAAGTGGACAACACACACACATAAAAAAAAAAAAAAAGAGGGAAAAAAAATCTGAAGGCTTTTAGATTTTTTTAACGTTTTGTGTGTTAACTTTATTAAATATCACGCTCTTCACACTTAAACCACATAAAATTCAATTCAACAGCAATATCACAAATATTTAAAAACAGCAAAAGGCACATGTTTGGAATTTCCAATACACAGTCTCTCCCGCTGGAGATAATTTTCCTCCTCCCCATAATGTGCTGCCATTGCTCACTTTGAAATCCTTGAGTTTGTTAATCAAAAAGTTGTTAAAGTTTTACAAAATATGAAACAGATAATAAAACAAATTCGAAATTCAAAACTCAGGCTTCCAAGTGCTCTTGTTCATTGGAGGACTACATTATATTAAATTTGATGGCTCTAGGTACCATTGTTTTTTCACAATATGAAAAACATTCATGCAGGTTCTTCATTATTTAGTTTCTTTAAATATAATACATGGGGATATCATTTGGTGGCAACAGTTTGAAAAGTGAATCAATGCAGAAAGTGAAACAATTCAAAATGCCGTTTTGAGACTAATAGCTATTTGGGTTTAATGCCCCTTTGGGCTAAAAACTTTGTGTTTCTTTGCCGCCACATTTAGTCGGTTTTTCCCTCTGATGCAATTATCGTCTATATTAACTTAAAGTTAGTTATACTATAATATAAAGATTTTATTACTTAAAATTAATCTACTGCTTCATATGTCCAGTTTATCATGGAAAAATCTGGCAAAACCTCTACATATATTTATTGTTGAATTTAGTACAGTAATATGCAACAAATGGTGACCTGTACACATGCTTAATTAAAGTGAATCAAAGATATTTAGTGTAGGGAAGGATTTCTTCTATAACAGTGTTTTGTGAGAATATGTGAAATACATTTTTATTATTATTATTATTATTATTATGTGTATTACTTTACTTTAATGTATTCATTCGTGATCATGTCCCAGTAACATGGATTACTTAATGCATTCATCAGTGATCATGTTCCAGCATGTGAGAGGATAATTTTTGTGCATCAACGTGATTTGTGATATTTTGTACCTTTTTCTTCCACAACATGGATATTGTCTGTCTGCATTTCTCAACTAGATGAGCTCTTCTTATGTACAGGTTAAGCCATAAGTTTGTTGAAACTTTAAAAGTTCATAAACACGGAAGAAATTATGGTAAAGAAATGTGATTTGCAAGAAAGGGCACACAAAAAAGTGGGATTTTTTTTAGCAACTACTAACAAAATTTTAAGTTAAAAATGTCATCGGTAGAGGTCACTGACGACCGAAAACACATCGAACAGAATGACAGTATGCTCCATTCATTTATCCGTGCAATAATAATTATTCAGCATAACCTCCAGAACAGTACAACACAACTAACTACCTCCAGTACAACATAATAAAGTCAACTCACAACACCCGTTACAGCTGAATACAAAATTCAGAATTAATTGCAGAAACCTCACGACAAACAAAATCTTTGAGTTCGTTTAATGTTGATGAGAATTAATAGTACCCAAGTGATTTGAAATAGCCCCACAACCAGAAGTCGACCAGAGCGAGATTGGGTGATCATGGAGGCCATGATCACACAACCTCGGCAACTAGGATGGATCACTATGTCTTCACCAAAGGTACTCAACAGGAATTGCTTTACTGGACTGGAATAGTGCAGTGTGCCATTCTGCATAAAACTTATTATGGATAATACATTTCTTTGCTTTAATGCAGGCACAACTTTGTCATCCAAAGAGTGAGATAACGCTCAGCGATTACTGTGCATGTTTTCCAGCCAGATATGGGACACGGTTCTTCAAAGACGAATGACCTGACAATGAAAGATGAGGTGAAGCCACACCAGACCGTTAACTTGGCTGGGTGCAGTGACTTCATTATGTATTCACGAGGATTTGACGCTGCACTTATACAAGTGTTCTGGTTGTTAATATCCCTGTATAGTGTTAAGTATGGCTCATCCACCCAGAAAACATTGAACAACTGAGGGTCGCTTTTAATTCTTGCCATAGGCCACTCCACATAGATTCCTCATAGCTGTATCTGACAGTTATAACTCATGCAGTGATTGCAATTAGTGGGGATAGAGATGCAATATTCCATACAGGATACATTGAATCAGTCAGTGAGGCACATCCAATATAATTCTAGCTTTCCAAGCATTGCTACTCCATATGGACGATTCCAATGCTCTATCATTCATATTGGTTTCCACAGCAGAAATTTGGCCATTTGCCAATGAGGGTCTTCCATTTCATGGCCGATTTTTCAAAGAGACAGTTTCCTCCAACCATTTGACAAGCTTCAGTATTCCAGAACTTGATATGGGGCAATTTTTCATCTTCAGTCCTTTTGAAATTTTTACAATGCAATAGTTACTAACTCTCTGTTCAAACAGAACAACTTCACCAACAATGCTTGCTCAGGTAATGATACCATTCTGAAAGTGAATGAGAAATCCTCGTGTATCAGGGTCTTTTATTGCAAGATTAATTTGCATAAGTCTCTTGAACCTCTCGCATGTCAATGCACTCTGTCGGTGAAATTTTTAACTAAAAATTTTTTTGCTGCTAAAAAAATCCAACTTTCTTGTGAGCCCTTTCTTGAAAACTGCCCTTCTTTCATTCAACAACAATTTCTTCCATTTCAATGAATTTTTAAAGTTTTTAAAGAACTTTTGCTCACTTTGTATTCTTTTGCTGTAGATCCTTTGAACTCAGGTCCTAACATTAATTACTTAGTATTTCCTCACGTGCACTGCAATTGCATTCCTGCATTATATCATTTTATTGTTACCTGTATTTATATGTATTAGTGAAATGTCTACGAGCAATCCTCCAATTGCTGATGACAAGCAAATGGCTTGCATTGCTATGAAACCTACCCCAAAATTTTACACCATGAATTCTGCCTTCAACACTGAGGTTCTGCAGTCAGTAAGCAAGATAGTTTCGAAATCCTGCTCAGATAACAAATACGAGGAATTGAAAAATAAATTAGTTTCAGGATATGAGGAGCCTGAAAATACCAAACTAAACCAGCTGTTACAGGATTTGCAACTTGATGACATGCACCCATCCTAGTTATTATCAAAAATACAGGATCTTGCAAATGACAGTTTTAAATCCAATGTTTTGCATCATTTAAATCCAATGTCTGCAATATCCAGGCTATTCTTACCACTAGTAACAAGAAGCTACCCCAGGCGGCCTAAATGGCACACAAAACTCATGATGTTCCTCCAGCTACAAGCAATCAATCAAGTTCAGCATTCCAGTATTGATATTTCATTGCAATTGCAAATTGATCTACAGTAAGATCACCAACCTCAAGCACAGTATAAAATGCCTAGGAATGACCAATTATCCCATATTCTCCAGCAGTCAAGGACACTCTGGCCTTCTGTTGAAGTACTTTTCTTCCCAGATGTAAGGATGAGGTGCAGTGACTTAATTCCATGCACTTCTATGTTAACTACATTGTAATACATTGCAAACTAATTTGCTGAGACACTAATCTTTTACATTTTTGCTAAATTTAGATTACCTTGTACATTGTTTATATCTGAAAGTTGTTTTTCAATGAAACAGTGAATTTTTTGTTTTTTATTATCCTTAAAATATAATCACTTCCCATTATTAATTGACTTAAGTTTAAAATATTATCAAACTGTATATTATGACTTAATTATGTAATACTATGTAGGCATGTATTATAAAAAGGTATAACTCAGTAACTACCATATGAATAGAACGTCTAACTAAACTCTGAAAGCAGTTCCCAATATGCAAGTTCAATTAAGGTTTATATTCCATACATATTTTAGTATAATTATTTCAATAATTCTTCAATCTCAACTTGAAAATTGGACTTCTGTCAAAAAATCAGCATGTGTATAACATGACAACATACTTTTAATAGCTGTTTCAAGAATGGCACTGCTTCTAAAGGACGGTGATCATCAGAAAGCAACAATGCCAGGTTGAAAAGTGCACTTCGGAAATTTTCCTTGAGCTGTAAACAAATGTAGAATGTCAAATGAAATTCTGCCAAAACTAAAAAGAAGCATAAAAACACAGTTAAAAATATTTATTAATTATACATTACAAAAAACAACCTGAATTGCTTTCTTAAACCACTTTTCTGCTAGCAACACTTTCTTATCATCCATAGCTAGCATTCCAAGATTGAAATAAACTCGCTCATTGGCTTTGCCCTTCTGCAACAGCTTATTTAATCTAGAAAAATAATTGCATTCAGAAATGCATATATAAAAATAAAAATAATACTGCATTTTGTTTTAATAGTTCAGCCTCCTACTTAATAATTCTAATTTAAATTAAATTCTAATTTAAATTTATTTTAATTAGAATTTAATTTAAATTAGAATTATTAAATTTAATTAAATCTAATTTAAATAAGTCATGAAATTTTTATTATAATAAACAAATTTAGTATTTACTTCACAAAAGAAATTGATGTTTGAATAACACCTACGAGTTGTGATGATTTGGAAGTAAAGAACTTATCAAAAAGGAAAGCTGAAATGTATGTTAACTCTGACTTTTTATGCCAGAAATAGTAAAACAGATACCTCATCTACAGACCTCATAAATATTATCATTTCATACTGCAACAAATTTTCAGTTCACTACTAGAATTCACTAGTCATCAAATTTTAAACATAATTTTTCCATTCATAGATCATTTGATAACAGGAATCAAAGTCTGAAAACAACTACTTTTTATAAGTTACTAGTTGACTGGGTAATAATGCAGGATTAAGATACACTGTTTTAATTTTTTAATTTTTTTCTTTTAAGTACTTGTAAATAAATTTAGCAATTAGTTTAGTATTCATCTTTTTCTATGACTCTGTCCATCTTTCAAGCAATTTTCTTCAAGAATGTTTTTGGTTTTAATGTAAAATATTCATTTACTACATTTCAACCACTTGCTTGTCATGGAAATTTTTAACATCATGGAAACTAAGTAATTTAAGCAGATAATAATTTGGAGGAAGACAATATCTGGAATCTTAGATCATTAATAATTGTTCAAATTTTGAGGAATCATTTTTACACTATATCATTTAGGGTTATTCTATTGAATAACCATAACAAGATATCAATCAATGCAAGCTGCTTGACCGTTAAAACTGGCAGTTAATGTCAGTTTTAAATTACCTATAGTGACAACACATGTCTGCATTAATAGTTTTCTTACTTTGTAACAGTTCAAAATAAATTAAATCTTCTATTTCCTACTATATGCAGAGAAAACCCTCCACTGGATATAATTCTGGTTTTTCTGTGAGACTTGTAACCATGTCTTTTTCAAGTAGCATTAGTCCAAGGAATCTTTTTATCACTTCCAGTTACAATAGCAACTTATTCTTAAGAAAGCCAACACTCATTTCTCATGAACATTAGAAGTACAAACCAATACTTGTCGCTGATTCTTCTTCAGCAGTGAACTCACGCGGAACCAAACCACCAGCACAAGAAAACGTTTCAGGATACACACAAAATACCAATAAAAATAATTTATACAGTTTTTAACAACAGAAGGAAAAAAATACTCATACTGGCTCCATATTTTCCAGCCAAATATATTTTTCAGCAGGTTCGATACTGTTATTTTCTACTGATTTGCACTTGTATCTTAAAGAGAGCACATCCTGACACAATTTTTCACAATGTAGGCAATACATGAGAAAAATCCACTTCCATTTCAGTATCAGTAAAAAAATTAACTAAAGAGAAAAAATGTAAACTTTGTACATTTACTTTAAAGCTGATTTCAATACTGGAAATTATTAACAATTTATTTGCTTTACCTATATTAGCTAGATAACCACAGAAGTAGACTTTAGAAAAAAGTCACAGTACCATTTAAGGTAGTTTATATACTGACTTGATTTTTAATACCTGAACTACAAAAAAAGTGTTGGTGAGAGCTCGAGTGTTTCTAATGCTTCAGAAACTTAGTGTGTATTCTGAATTTTCTCAATTTTATTAAGTGCAACTGCTTTGCAATTATAACTAAGTTTTCTTCACTGTCAACATCCTTCAAATCAAGCATAAACTGAAAGCATGAAACACTATTACTCTCTCTTACATGCATGTATGCAGTGTAACTTCCATAATATGAACACCCATGTCAAAGACAATAACCATGAAAGGTTTCACAGGATATATATAAGCATATACAATGCAATATCATATAGAAGCTATACTTTTATACTAATTAAAAAGCCAAGTGAGAAAATGAAAATAACAATGTATAAATTGCACTTTAAATTATTTTTAGTTTTTATTTCAATATACCTGTCATATGCTATTTTCCGTTTCTGCAGATTCCCACTTTCTTGTATTAATATTGCAGAATTCATTAAGGCTTGCTGTGAAAAAAAAATATCAATATAATAACTTACTTTTTTTGTGCACACAATAACTTACTTTTTATTTTTTTATTTTAAATAATTACAGTTTCTTCAAAATTCAAGCATTTAATATACAAATTAAATACAAATATAATAATACATATTTATATCATGCAACTTCAAGAATAATAAAAAACGTTTTTTAAATGCATGGTAACAAGAAATGAAATGATAAGCCTGATGATTATCTTATATGTGTGGGAATATGCTTCATTTTTATAAGTAATAATGGCAACATGCTCACCAGCAAGATCCTGTGACCATTTTCGGCAGATGAGATGTTAGACGGGAATGAAGATGAAGTTTGAAAAACCAAAAGAACTCTGAATTCTTTCTATGATGTGATTCCGTTTAATATGATGTTATTCTGTTTTTATGATGCAATGGACCAACTAAAAATGACTAAAATTGATGACTCCAAACGTCATGTTCCACTAAAAAGGACAATCAGAATCCTCACCTTAAGGTCACAGTCACTCATAGTGGACGAACTGTGAAACCTATTCATAGACTACAATTGTCACATGTGTGACAGCAGGTTGAGTTCCTCCAGAACTCAAAGTGGGAGAATGTTGCTGCTGAGCAACCTCATGAAGTGAGGACTAAAATAAAACCAGAGACACTTAGAGTCAGAAGAAGAGTGAAGGAGAAGCAGCCAAGATTGCTGCTTATGTGTTTGAAACAAAGAGAAGCAGTCATGACTGCTGCTCACATGTTTTCAATTAATATGTTTCTATCACTAAAGTTCTTTTGTAACTACTAATAAAGTATGTTGTGTTTTTAAATGAAGACTCCCATTTTTAAACTGGATTAGTTCCTATTTTTAGACTGGATTTTTGAGAGTTCTTCTGTCAAGCTGCCCACCATGAAAAAGACAAAAGGTAAGTTTACCTTTTGGCATATTTTATTGATCTTCTAAAAGTGGTATACTTTGTGGTAAACAAGGAGTTGAAATTAGAGTTAACAATAAATAAATAAATAACTATTCAATGTATTAGAAACACCCACTTTAATGATAATAACAATAGCAATAAAATTTTAAAAACCTGAAAGGTTTCAGATTTTATATTATGCCCAAAGGGCCATTTTTTTAATGTTTTGCATGTTAACTTTATTTATTAAACATAATGCTCTTCACACTTAAACCATAAAATTCAGTTCAACAGCAATATCATAAAATAATTATAAAATGAGCATATCTTTAGAATTTCCGATACACAGTCTAGCGCGCTAGAGATAAAAAAAAATTTTTTTTCCTGTACAGTGATGCCATTGCTCGCTATGAAATCGTTGAGTTTGTTAATAAAAAATTCATTAAAGTTTTACAAAATATGATATCAATAATAAAACAAAATCTAAATTTGGGCTTCCAGATGTCCATATTCGGGTGGAAATATATGTTGCTCAAAATTTGATGGCTCTAGGTACCGTTGTTTTATCACAATAGGAGAAACATACATACATTTATGCCAATTCTTCATTATTTAATTTTTTAAATATAATACAGGGCTGTACTAATTGGTGGCAACAGTTTGAAAAGTGAGCCGACATTTATCGTGAAACATCGCAAAATGCCAAAATAAAATTAATAGCCCTTCTGGGATAATGCCCTTTGGGCTAAAAAAAATTATGCCAAAAATATAGGTGTTGTTTTGCCATCAAGACAGTGAGAGAAGGCAAGTACCACAGCTGGTGCTATGCATCCCAATGCAATCTTCTGAGAGTCTTAAATTTTGCTGCCCCTTGCTGCCTAAATTCTAAAAATTTTGCCAACCTTTAAATTTTGTTGCTTCTCCAAATTCTAAAACGTTTTATGCTCATAAATTCTACTTCCTGGTGCTTCTGCAATAGTTGCATCAGTTCTGATGTCAGCCCTGGCAAGTACCAAAGATGCTTTTGGTTTTCAGATCCTCCTGCAGCTCCAGAATTAGAAACACTTTTCAACATAAACGAAAATTCAAACTTTAATTTTGATAAGATAGCTGTATTAACAATAGCCTGCAAAAATAATATGCTGGATCAAATTAGTAAGAGTGCAATTTGCAACATTAAATTAACTTAAAAGCCAGAAAGTATGGCCATAGTTACTTCAATCTATGTATTGCCACTGGCCAGTGTGTGAAAAGTAACATAAAGGAATCTCAGCAAGTCTGAAGAAAACTCGCATTTACAACACATTTTTTTTTTTTTTTTTTTTTTTTTTTTTTAGTAACACATTTTCATTCCTAGATATTGTTAAAAGAATTTTTTTCCCTTGTGCTCCAGATATTAGACATCCAGATTTTAGATTTTGTACTGTATTTGCAACTAAGTTCTAAAAACCATACTTTGAAAAAAATTGAAGAAACTTAAGTTATCTTTTGTCATCTCTAGTAACAGGAAAGTAATTCTAATGTATTTTCTTCTCAATGAAGAACCTACTTTATTAATGTAATCATATATTTATTATTCAAAATATCTGATGTACAAAAGAAGGCATAGCAAGAACATACCATTGATGAAATCATATAAAATTTTCCTAAATCCTGCTGTTAAGTTTAAAAAAAAATTATTTGTTTAACTCAGTTTTGAATGAATCAGCATAGCTTGATTATTTCCTGCCATCTGCTCCTTCTTTCATCCTCAGTAACACATGAGTATCTTTAGATCACCATAAAAGGTTTTGGTGTACATTACTAAAGTGTAAACTGAGTTTTTTCTACTTTGAGTGCAATATATTTTCAAAGCTTCAAGATTTATGCAACATTTTTATACTTATTTATTTTAGTATGGACATAGAACTGTAGGTCCTTGATTTCTAAAAAAAGATAGAGTCCTACAGGTCTAAGAAAGCACAAGAAGGAAAAACAAAAAACAGAATGCTTGTAATTCATTTTCTCTTCTTCACCAATTCTTCAGTGTGTCATATTTTCAGGTTTTTTTTTTTCTTTTTGGCAACTCTTAACTGCACTTCAAACATTTATCACTAAATTTCTTTACATGCTTACCAATTTTACTAGTCCTCAAAATCAGAATATCTCAGGAATGGAATGAAGAGAAAATTTAACATAATTTAGTGCTATTTGCACATCTGCCAAATTCAGTGAGTGATTTTGTGCATGACATTTCCATTCATTTCCCTGATGTATTTCTGAATGCCAGTAAATTGAATAGATATCACAGCAGCATTATCAAGTGTTTATTTTCTATATATCTTAACATCAGCTACATTGTTTAACTAATTTCAGCAAAATTATAGCTGAAATATTCCCAGCCAATTTAGCTTCTGTTTCAATGAAACCAAAAAATGACTAAACAGGCTTCATACAATCACAATTAAATTTTGCTTGTTTAATTTTTATGAAAAATATTTGAAATGATATCAAATATCAGAGAAAAAAACTTTCGTTCATAGAAAAATACTTTTAGTTATTCAATAACTTATTTTCTTGCTTTTTCTCCTGAAATTTTAAAAATACTTTTGGAGCAGTACAAATAGAAAATGATCTAGAGAAAAAAGGAAATCAAAAGTCACAAATATCTGTAGCCATTTCAGCATCTAAAAAGGGCATACATTCAGAGATAAGAGGAATAATTTTCATATATTAAACTAATTAAGAATTTAATTTAAAATGCCTTCTGTTTAAATAACTACATTTCAAGTATTCATTGGCCATGTGTGGCTAGTGGCAACTTTATTGGGCAACATGGCTCTGAAATAAACATGCATAAACAACACAATAAATAATTAAAAAAGGTTTTGATTCAGATCCATTGAATATAAACACATAATGGATTTAAAAGCTAATAAGAAATTCAGCAATTTAGGGAAAGAGGGAAGCAATGATTTTTCACAATGCATACTGTAATACAATACAGTATAAGCAATCCAAGTAGCCACTTAGCTATGTATACTGTTGTTTAACTTTTAAGAATTTGAATTGCAATATGATAGAGAAGTAAAATAACTTTGTTGGATTCATATCTTAACTTCTTTTAGATAAAAATATAATAGTTTAGCATTAAAACAAAAATAAAAGGATCACCCAAGAAATTAAATTGTGCCCTAGGAAATGTTCAGACCTAATTGAATTACCCTTTTACAACAATGCATCAGATCACACTTTGTTAAGAAGTTAAAATTATTATGAAGGTATTATTATGAACAGAAAATCACAAAATATAAAATTAAATAAAAATTCAAACACTATATATAAACTTATTTAACTGTATTTAAACTTTAGTTTTAATATACATGGAAACGAGGCATCAGCATTTTGACAATTCAAACAACTTGAACATATCCATCATTCAACTACATTAAAACCATACACCATGCCCATAAAAGTTCTTACCCAGTTCTTACCAACGGTTTATTTTTGCAACCACTAGTCATAGACATATACTTCCAGTTACAAAATGTTTTAAATGACACATAGATTCATGTTTTGGCAAAATTAAAGAAATCAATTTTGTAAAATTGCAAAATCTAACTTTTTACATGTTTCTCTGGTCATTATACTTATAACTAGGAAAGCTGTTATAAAAAATAAAACACAAAAAGTTTGAATCTGTATAACAAAAAGTGACATATATTTAATTTTAAAATTATGATTTTTGAGATCATATTCAATTTGCATTGGTTAGTGAATTAGAATAAATCAAGGTTGATACCCCCCTCAATGCCATTTAATGATACTGTTTTGTAATTTACTATTGTCTTTAATTAATAATTTAATTACATCTGGTATGATGAAAAGAATTTTCACATAAATAATTTTTATAAGTTTTAAAAGTCCAAAATCGGGTTATTTATACTTGCATTAAATTTTATCACTTTAGCATCCTAATCTTGTAATCTTATAAAATATTCATCAAAGTATATTTTTCATTACTAATTAACACAAATAATATCGCTACTTTGGATGAAAAGTGGCACAATGAGAAAATTATTAGTTTACAGAAAAAATAAAAGAAGATTTAATCCAAGTTTAACTAAATATAAAGGGTTAACTAACAAACATTAGTGATATCCAGTCTATTAGTGAACCCCTTCCACATAAAAATATACCACATTTCCGTTTTGATTATGACATAAGCAAATAATTGCATTTGTTGAATTATGCCAGTTTTTTTCCAAAGATGAATTATTACAAGTTGGATAGATGAAAATACTGAAACGTGTCAGTTTTTCGTAGAGCACAAATTCTATGAAATTCCATAAATAAAATCTACATTAAAAAAAATATATATATTGATCAGTATTTTTCACAATAATCTGCACAGAAATATTCATCATGTAATCTCTTCACAATAGAAATTTTTTAAACAATATTTTAGTCTTAATTATGTACAAATGCAAATATTCATGCTTTAATTTGTGTTTAGGGCCTAAATATGATTCTCAATTTTAATATCAAGTATTGCAGTCAATTTTTGTCATAGAGTCACACTTTTTGTATTTTATTTTTTTTTAAATGTGTACAAAAGTTTCCTAAGTATAGACACTGGAGGAATATGTAAAAAATTTCGTATTTTATACAAAATCAGATTTTTTTTTTCCAAATTTAAAAATATGAAAACATGAACCTTTACATTATTTAAAATATTTTTGTAATTGGAAATATATATCTATGACTACAGTTGCAAAAATAAAGACCATGTTAAGACTTTTGTGGACATTGTGTATAAATGTTTTACTAAAAGTACAACAAATTATGTGTTAAGCAATAATTATTTCAAATAATTTCAAAAAGTGAAAAAGAAAAATTCATTACCTCATGTTCAGGATCAATATCTAAAGCTTTGTCAAAAAATGCTAAAGCATCAGGAAGTTTACCTTGTTCTAAATGTACAACACCTAACTTGGAAAAAAAATTTTAATTATTAACACAAACATGTATTAGTCTGAAAAATAAAGACACAAAACAAGTTTATTTAAGGATTGTATTTAAGGTTTATTTGTATTTAAAACAACAGATTTTGCAAGTTTAAAATTACATTTAACATAACCTTATTATTACACTTACCAAATGATAATATTAAATAATAGATACAATTTAATACAGTCAAAAGTCTTTAATCTGGATGTCCATAATCCGGAATGATCTATAATCCGGACCGCTAAGCTACAAAATTTCTGCGCATGCGTAAACGCAGTGCATGCACATATGCGTTTACGCATGTGCATCATACCTTTACGCATGCACATATGCATTTACGCACGTGCATAATACGTTTATGCATGCGCATTTAATGTATAACGGATGGTATAAGCTAAGCTAAAATTATCTAATTATCTTATTTCAGTTAATGTTGCAGATTGCGTTGTTCCTTAATCTTCTAATTGGATCCGGCTTATTATTTTTCCCAGACGGTTAGAGCAATTTTATAAAAGTTAGCTTGAACTTTCGATTATGTTAATAAGAATTTCCGATTCTGGAGCTGCCAAAGGATCTACAAAGCGAAAGCATGTTTCGATGTCCATCAAACAAAAAGTGGAATTGCTGCAAAAAATGGATAAAGGAATATCCTTTGTTTCTCTAACCATTCTGAAATCTGTTTATCAATTTCACGCTGCTCTGCAGGGGGGGACGTTGCGGCGCGCAATGAACTGGAAGTTGATCTGTCAGCACTATCCTTATATTCAGGGCAGATGTTTTTATTTTATTCGGCTTATAATTCCTTACTAAATGTAGTATTTCATCTCGATGTACTCCGTCTTTGATATGATTTAAATCAAAGTCCTTGTCATTATAAATATCACGAATACACATCAAATAGTTTTCTGGTTGCAATTTTCTAATTTCGACTATGCGTAATGTATGCTTTATGCATGCACGTGTTGAAAGAAATGTTTAATAAAGTAAACAAATAAATATTAAGCTTTTTTTTTGTAAATTTTGATACCCTTTAGATCATAATTGCTCTTATTTAATAAATTACAGTTGAATATTTTTAATTTTATAATTTCTGCATGCCATCTTACCAGATTTAAACTGATGATCTGCTTCAGGAAACACATAAATATATATCTATTACATTAGATGATATCTAAAATTAACTTGATTAACCTAAGGAAAAAATTAAGAAAGGCTGATAACATCAGTTTGTAGATGCATTCTCTTGCGATTTTAATCTTTTCTTCACATATGCAGTTTAAGACTATTATATTTTAAAAGTGTATTTTGCAAGGTGAAAACATTTAATAATATATGTATATTTAAACAAAAATAAAAGTAACTAAAATGCAAAGATAAAAAAGTAAAGATGGATATATATATATATATATATATAATCAAATTTAAACAGCAAAATCAGAAACAAATGATAAACTAAGCCTTCTGGTGCTAAGAAGAAGGCTGTACATTTAACACTTAATGAAATCAATGCAAAAAATTAAACAAAAATGAAAAACAAAAGAAGAGAAATCAAGTAATCAAATTTTATTGAAGTGTGTGAAGCAGGAACACTGAATGTTTTAGAAAATTTATATTTTACATGTACAATTAATTTATTAACAAAATTTAATATTTTTAATATAAAATCTATTTTCAAAATTTTTAAATATATAGTAGTTTATAAATTTCGTCTCATAAAATTACATAATAAAATTAAGAAATATTTTGTCTTGCTATATTATTCTAGTTACACTTGCTATATTATTTTTACTTCTGCTGTATTTGCCATATTATTAATTTTTGTTATATTTGCTATATTATTTTTTATTACTTTAGCATTAATTTACAATTTTTTAACATCAATAATAAATCAATATGTTGTAATATTTATCTTTAACACATTCTCCAGGTTTTGAATAGTATGAATTCATCCAGCAAAGTGATAACAGCCCTCACATGTAATCATCACTAGTGATATGATCACATTCATGATTAAACTTATCTAGAACCATGGGTGAACACTTTTTATATGATTTAACTGCAGAAAGGAAAATTGTAAAGGAAAAGCTATCTGCAATATGGAAATGAATGAATAAATTAATAAAATGATTTAACAAATTACTAAATCATTTTTTTCAGCAAGGACTATAAAATTTTATCTTTGTTGTAGAAAACCTCTTAACCATGAGTTTGAAACTATTTTCATAAAACTTACTACCTTATGTTTTAAAATTTTGCAAATTCAAGTACATGTCTAAGATCCATAATTTATGGAAATAAAGCCACATTTTATGAATTGTAATGAAAATATTTTTCATAACACTCCTTTCTAAAGCATTATAAACCTTTTGCTTTACAAAGGGCAGAAAGAAAAAGCAAACTGACTTACCATGTTAGTTACACGATCTTAACTATAAATCCCAAACACATAAAGCACAGGATTCAAAAGTACACAAAGCAGAATTCTGTGCCAAAAAATGCACAGACAGCTTTTCAAATTTAGAAAAATAATTTTTATTGTAGTCATTGTTATTTGAATACGGCAAAGCCACAAGGGTTATCTGCTTAAGAGAAGGGATGCCTTTGTGGAGGACTTTCTAAGTTGAATTGGCTCATATTTATGTTAAACAGGGAAGCGTTAAACGAAAATCAACCATGCAGCCAACCTGTTCACCTGGCATCGAAATCTAAAGAAGGCCAACTATCAGGATTCAGCCATTCAACCAGTGGTGAAGTTAACAAAATTATCATTCTTGAATATGTCTTTTACTTCAGCTTCTTCAGCTTGGCATTGCCGCCTGAGCGGATAGTACACAACGGCATACAAGAGATATCACCGACTTATTGGAGTGGACCAAATAATTTTGCTTTGAGTTTGTAGTACATTGCCTTGGACTGAAGAAAAAAAAAAATTCCAGATACAAATAAAGCTATACTACTACTCAATATTTTCTCCACTTTTATACTTACATTGTAATAGATGTCTGGATTATTGGCATCAAGTTTCAGTGCTTTTTCGTAAACTTCTTGTGCCTCAGCAGTTCTGAAAAATCATAAAAATCAATGCAGTTTTAAACTTTTCATGCTATACCAATAGGTGTGTGTGTAATAAATGCCTTGAAAAATGATATCAATAGGGGGTGTGTTATATATAATTTAATGGATTTTTGAATTTATTAATATGAATGTTCAATTTTTGGTCTTTGTGAAAATTAGTTCTAAATTTTACTTTCCGTCTTTACTGATAATTTTTCAGCAGCTTAATTTGTGAAAATACTAGACATGTTTATATTTTGTTTTTTTAAAAAAATGTTTTGTAATTATACACACACACACACACACATATATATAGCACTGTTTTCAAAAACCATATTAAAAAAAGTGCATGAAAAATCAGGCACTTTTTTATGAACTCATGTTACTTAGTAAAAACAGTTAACATGTTTTATACAACAGTACATCAGAGAGGTCCTATGAATTGCCAAAGCACTTGCATGACATGATGATAAGTTTAAATAGTACTTAATGCATATTTCCCCTTGATTCTAAAAACTACAGTAAAAAGAAAAAAAAGGTAAATTTTTGTTACAGATACAAACTTATTTCTAACTTTTACTACGAGGGCAATCCCCAAAAAAAGGTCAAAAAGGTCTCCTATTTTTTGGAGATGTAGAGAAAGTTTTAATACGGTTGTTGGCAACACTGTTGTGAGTGGTGCTTTCTCCGCTACCACATAAGCACGCAGGCGCTTCGCTCGGATGCTCAGTCTTGGCTTGGCAGCCATTCGAAATGGAGCTCCCGATAAACATTACTGCCAAGTGCGAAGTGCACACAGTAATTCGATTTTTGAACACAAAAGGCGTTAAGCCGGTTGAAATTCACCGCCTATTGACGGAAGTGTGTGGACAGTTGTCATGGATGTCGAAAACATTCGCAAGTTGTGTATAGAGTTTACAGCCGGTCGTACTGAAATTCATGACGAAGAAAGGAGCGGGAGGCCGATAAGACAATCGCGAAAGTTGAGAAACTCATGCATAAAGGTCGGAGGATCACTCTGGATGCTCTCTGCATTTTGGTTCCTGAGGTTTCCAGAAGCACCATGCACAGGATTTTCACGGAAATGTTGCAATATCGGAAGGTGTGTGCAAGATGGGTGCTGCGTATGCTGACAGAAGACCACAAATGGCAACGGGTTGATTTTTCCCGCGAATTAATTTCTTAGCCGCTATGGTTCTGCTCCGATGATGAGGTGAAAGATGAGGTTCAACGCTACTTGAAGGGCTTGGTGGCAAGCTGGTATGACATGGGCATTGTAAAACTGCCAAAGCATCTACAAAAATGCATCGACCGAAATGGCGATTATGTTGAAAAATAAAGCATTCTTTAATCTTTAAAGTGATGTAGCAATTATAGAAAATAAACTGTTCTTTGTATATCTAAAAATATAGGAGACCTTTTTTTTGGGATTGCCCTCGTACTAAGATTATTTCATTTCATAAAATGATTTAATGTGCACAAAAGTTGTATGTATATATATATATATGGTTACCGGCAAAGTATGAAACGACGGCATTCTATAAAATGCCTACGCATTGTATATAATGCCAGATGTTTTTAGGCAAATTAGGAAATATGAGAATTATTAGATACTTTATCTAGGCATTCTACAGCTACTTAGGCAAAGTTTAAAAAAAGGCCCTGATACGGCTATTACGTATATAAAGTATGGGCATCCCTCAAAAATACAAAAGTTATTCTGAAAAAATAATAAGAGTGCCATTAAAAAAAAATCTATTCAAAATACGTAAAGAAAAATGAAAGTTTTACAAAACAAAATTTATGCCTTTCTTATTAAAGGAGACAAAATGTTCATACAAAAGAATAAGAAATTAAAATTATCCTACTTGCTGCAACATGGTAGGCTTGAATGACATTTTGAATTTTCATTTAAAGACATTTCATATTTTGGCACTTTGTTTTACACATACATTAGCTAAATCCTTGGCTGCTTCCACTGGACTGAGCAATTGCAACTGACCAGAGAGGAATTTCGTGGTCAGGAATATCTTCAATTCTAAGCAAGTTCTTTGGACATAAAGTGAATTGTAATCTCACATACACTTGTTTTAAAATTCCCTCAGAAGTTTTAAGTCGGTAGAAACCATCCTCTGTTACACTCATTACAACTGCCAATGTATTGCCCAAATCACCTCGCCCCTTTTCAATGTCGGGAATAGGAAGTCGCACAGTCGTTTCCAAAGCAGCAGAGGGATTTATTTTCTGAATTCATTTTCATTTTTTTGGCTTGTACTTCCAGATTGACTTTAGAATTTATTTTACCTTCAATAGCATTTTCAGTTTTGAAATAAAGGGTGCACAAAATATCCATTTCATCATCTTTACTAGTATAGCCACAGAAGGTACGAATATTTTAATGAAACTTCTTCCATTCAAGTACATCATTCGTTTCCTTTAAATACACACAACAGGTATCAGAAATGGAAATCTCTTTGGTAAGCATCTCTTCATCATGTTGGTTTAATCCACTGTCGACTATAATTTCATACTTCTTTTTTTTTTTCTTTCTTTTTTGCATAATCTGATTAAGTTTCATCATTTTCCATTGTTTGGATGCTTTCTATTACTTTTTCCAGATACTCATTTGCATTTATGTCTTTTATTAAAACATCTTTAGGTAAACAAAGATGCTGTAAGCCCTACTTTAGGTTTGCAGGAAAAAGAGCTTCATATGGTGTTATTTTGATCCCAGAATAAGCTCTATTTTTCATTAAAAAAAAAAAAAAAAAAAAAAAAAAAGCGTGTCTTCACTCCAGCAATCATATTTTTTGCCCTGAATCCAAGTACAGAGCATTTGTTCAATATCTTGATTAGCTCTTTAGACACTACCCCTGGCTTTGTGAATGGCAAGGCTTCCCAATGCCAATCTTCAGTGCTGGCAAAACTCTTTCAAGCTGGTCACCACATTATTGGAAAATTCCCTACCATTGTCAGGCTGTAATATAGATGGTGTTCCAAGCAACGAGAATACATCCACTAGATTGTAGGCTATTTCAACTTTTTTTTTACGTTAGAGAATTGAGAATTACAAATTTTATGAGACGATCTTGGTACACCATAATAAATTTGCATTCTCTATCTGGCTGAAACTGAAAATCACTAAGGTCTACCTGAAAATGAGAATTAATGAGAATTAAATTCAGGAAAAATCACAGGTTTCACAACAATGCCCTTTTTATACCTTTCTGTTTTTTCTGGCAAGGTTCACAAAGGTGGATCTACAGTTCATTATCATGACATGTAAGGTTTTTATGAAAATGTGTGGTTGAAAGTGATATAATACCTTATAGTACTGATGCCTTCTTTAATAGGATAAATGAGATTAGATAAATGAGTTGATATTTAAGACTCTGGGCTCCTTCTTAGTAGTCATTTTGGCTTTTTGTACATCATTTATTAATTTCAGGTAAATAGTTCAGTTAAGAAAAACCTGTTTTTTGTGGCATTAACTTTAATTTGGGGCAGTTAATTGTTGATTCATTGTTTCATGTCTATAGACCATGACTCCTCCATTTTCATGCAGCACAGTAAAGGACTAATTTTTGTTGAACAAATTTAAGTAAAATTGTGTATTTTGACACTCTCAAACAAACTGCAAAGTGCAACTGACAAATTTTGTGTGCCTGAGGCATTCGTTAAAAGTCATGTGCCTTGCCATGTGATATTTGAAATGAATCGGAGATGTATACTTTTGCTGAATTGAAATGAACTGGAGATGTATATTCAGTGGTTTCTGATTTGGCATTCTATAAAATGCCTAGAAAATGTAAAAAATATGAATCGTCTCGTACACTGCCAGCTAGTTTTAGGCATTCTATAGAATGCCGGTTTTCAAACTTTGCCAGTAGCATATATACATTTTTCTGCTAGAGTATTTCAAAAAATCAAATCAAAGACAATTTTGAAATGTCTTAAAAAATTGTGATTGCTTTGAAACTTTCAGAAATTTCCAAACAAAACAAATTTAAACATTACCCCCCCCCCCCGTTATAAATCCTAAACTCTTTAAATGGTTCCATATTTTACTGTGCAAGCTTTCAGTTATCAGACTTTTTAAACAATGTCAGAAGTTTCAATTGACACCAAGGCAGTAATTATCAGCCAGTACACATTTATGGCTGCCCACAACAACCACATTCTCATTATTTGACCTTTCCTGTTAACCTCAAGCTCAATCTTATCTTATGAACTTCAATGCATTCTAATTACTGATGGTTTCTGCTTTGCCACTTTTTAAAAAATCTCTACGATTTTCCAAATACTTAAATATATTTCAATTCCCATACAATGAAATCATTAAAATACATTATGGAAGTGCTCCAAACATAAATTGAAGCCAGATCACATTCACAATAGTCCTACGATTTATTTGCTATTAGCATAAGGAATTAATAGTAGTTAAATTTTGCCAAAATGAAAACATATGCATAGAAGCTATTTTACAGGCAATAAATAAGCAAAATAAAAACCAGATTACCATTAAAATTACATTGAAGTAAATGAAATCCCTGGTTCACTTCCAAAGCTATAGTCGGTGTATAATAAAGCTACTGGTGTAGCTTAACACTAACTATCACTTTTTCATATATTCTGGTTTCTCTCACATTACAAAATAAGTGAGAAATAAGAAAAACTGCAGTGAATTATCTTATTTAGACTGTTTAAATTTAAATCATTTTGCAGCAGACCACACAGAGCTAAGAAACCCATGTGTGCAGTCCCTCCAATTCACTCCTCTCACCGTTTACAATGTGTCACACAACATGTTTTTCACATCGTAGACATAACTTCATGCCTAGTGTCAGTAAATTTTAACGTTCTGCACCATGTCTGTAGTCATCCAATTTCAGGTCTCAATTTCAGGAAGGGCAATGAACCAATTGTCTGATTTTTTCTCTGATATCATTCGAGATATAACAAATCAGAGGATGTAAAATGCTACTGTGAAATTAAGGAGGCATGGCTAATTCAGTTTGAAGATTTTTCTCTACTGGAGTAACATCAACAGAACACTCCTGAACTCTCAACTAGAGAGACTTATGATGCTCTTGAGCTCTCAACTAGAGAGAACTTCGTTAGCAGACTCCTAACATTATGAGGACAATAATTCATTTTTAATAACTATCTATGCTATCTGTGAATTATATATATATGTGTGTGTGTAAATAATTCTAGTAATAATATATATGTTTGAGTTTAAAATGAAGTAGGAGTACGCAACTTGGCAAACTTACCCAATCAGTCAGATACGCTACCTGCAACCACTCAATATAGGGTAACCTGAGAGTCACTCCCATAGTAGTGACTAAAAAACCCCCCAATTTTATTTACACTTTTTCTTTCCTAAAGATGAAATAATTTACAGGAGTCACTTAACAATTAAGTATAAAAGATATTTCAAATTAAATAATGAAAGGGTGTTCAATGTATCTGTTACTATAATAGTGCAAATGCTTAATTAGGATTAATTTTAAATGTTACTTTTTTTTTTTTTTTTTTCAAATAGAAGAAAAATACACACTAATTTAAATACCGTATAGCTTTTACACTGGAAGTATTTAAAAGAGTGATTAAATAAAATATTTAATAAGGATTAATATAGCAAGCAATTGAAAATAAAATAAAGGAAAACTATTAATTAATTAAAGTTGGCATACTTGTTTAATTTTATAAGAATATCTCCTCTATTTATGTATGCTTGAATATAATCTGCACGCATCCCAATTGCTTGTCGATACAACTGAAAAATAAAGATTAAACAATTGCTATTTGGATATGACTTATACTAAAATATTAACAAGAAAATTTCTTTTCAAATGAAATAAATTCAAGCTTACAAAGAAACATTTTTATATTAACAGAAGTGAAAAATGAATGCATGTTTTAATGCATATATTACAATAGACACCATCAGTATCCATAAGAAGTGAAGGGTCTTTTGAGATTTTCTATGTTTGCACAATTTTTTACTTGTCATTATCAAAAGCTAGTATTATGCTGATGTCTTACAAACAACATTATCTCTACAAGCATTGAATTTTGTGAAAACTACGTAGAAGGTATAGCACACCACATTTGTTTTAAACATCTAGCTAAAATGGAGAAATATGATTTTAATTTTTGTTATAAATGGCCACACAACTCACAAGATTTGAAATCTTGTGATTTTTTATTATATGGTTATCTAAAAATGGAGGTATACAGGGATCATTCAACATCATTAGTAAAGATGCAGTGTTACTGTATGTACCTCTGATTCCTACAGATTCACTGTCTTTGCTATCAGTATGTCTTGGCCTGTTTTGAGGCAAAGCTCAATAATAATCAGAACTACCTTGAGTATTCATTGTAACATTTTGGCTTCTTTTACGATAAAGCACCATCTAATATATATCACTATAAATAATAAATCTATGTAATAAAATTCTTTATGCTACCCAGAAATTTTCAGTTTTTAAAATTAAGCAAAGCTACCCAGAAATACATTATAAACATATGTACCTTAGCTTGCTTCAGATCCCAATCTTGACAATACACAATCATTTTATGCAAAACATAACCAACATTACTTTTCTTTTTTTTTTTTTTTTTTTTTGAAAAACTTTGTATACTTTTCTTATATTTACAATGAAAGAGTGCAACCTTAAAATAATCGTAGCTTCACCACTATAGTTGATTAACTTTCTGAAGACGATATCCATGCCCTCCCCATTTTAGAGAATCGCCTATCTGTAGACCTCTGGGTGGTCCATTGTCGCTGCTCAGAGTAGCCGCTGGCTATGCATTATTTCCCTCTTCTTTCAGTTTGGCTACATTTTGGCAAAAACCGCAGGGTTTTCTCGCGCCAATATACTTGAAAATCAAATAGAGGCCTCTCTTTCTCAATCTGTCTAATAATTTTAATGCTAATTTTTTATACTGACTTTGCTATGATTAAACGTCAGCGATTTTGCATGCTCTTAAGCTACCATATTTAATGTTTTTAATCATAACAATAAGAATAGATTAATATTTTAGATTTAAAGCCCTTCTAGAAAATAGGTAAAACCGCTTTTATCGTTTTACTTCCTTTTATACTTATGAATAATAAAATTTTATTTTGACATTTTTTGTGGAGTGCAAAAACCTTTAAGAACTGTAACTCTTCAAAGTGCTTCTATTATGTAGGCAATTTTGTCTGATTTATCAGGAGATAAATAAGAGACAATTGTATGCATAATAGTTTTTGTGATTTTTTCATTCATTCACTGATTGCTTTCAATGATTTTCATTTGTGTAAATTAAATAAAATCAATTTATCTTTAGACCCTCTTTTAGGATGAGATCTGCCAAAAAGTATTTAAATATCAGTAAAGCTCACATTACTTCTAAATTCAATCAAAACATCAGTTACATTGTATAAAATTTTGGCCAGTTTTATTTGCTTATACTCCTCAAGAGATAAAGGGAATTCAGATAAGTTAATAAAAAAATATCTTTAAAAAAGCTTGTTATTTTGCCTGTAATAAGATGTATGTCAACTTGCTATTAAATGTATGAAAATTAGGATTGGCGAACGGAAAAGCACGCGAACACTATCTGCTTAAGGGGATGGATGCTTTCGTGTAAACCTTTTTAAGAGAAAATTGCTCGCATTTACGCTCCTGGTGGAAAACTCCACATGTAATGAACCCGTTCTTCGGGTTTGATTGGATTAATTTTGTTCGCTTACTGAATTACATCAAAGCACACAACAATTACCTGTATAGGAGGAGTCATGCCTTCGCGGAGGACTTTCTAAGAGAAGCTGGCTTGCATTTACGTTACACAAAACCCGTGAATCCAACTATTTATTCGGGATTCAAACCCAAGCGAGCTACAAGTGTTCAGCCACCTTTACCGCTCTACTGAAGAGCCCGTAAAAATATTGATAAAGGAAAAGTATTGAAATAACCGGTTTAATTTACTAACCTATATTTCTCAATCGACAGTACATAAATTACGCATATGAGGGGGATTATTTGTGAATAAATAAACTGTATTGCACTTTTCTGCACTATTTCATATTACGATGGAATTATTGCATTTCAAAGTTATTTCTCATGAATTAATTTTGCTCCGTTCATGATTTTTGATATTTTCAAAGAGAAAATTCCACTTTAATAAAAAAAATACACAGAAGATACTTTATGCAAAATTTGGCGTAAACGGTTTTCTTAATTTTGCTTTGAAAATATTCCAGGGTAATCATCTTCATTACTGGAAGAAATATGAAAAACAGATTTACTACATTGTGTCAACACCCAGTATGTCCTTATTCTTTTGAAAACGTGAAAGATTACTCTTTCTAAAATAAATTAGAAAATATATTATGTGCAAATAAAATATTCGTTGAAAATGAAATAGACTTCAACCTTTGGATATAACGATGGTTTTAGACGAAATTTCTACCTATGAAAAGAAATTGATGTATAATTAATTCTTCATGAACATTTAAAACTGTTGATGATTGCATGTATAGGTCACGGATTTTTTTCTCTGCTAACATAAACAAAAGCCAATTTTACAAAGAAAAATTCTCGTTAAAGATATACCTTCTTTGCCTGAAAGTCCAACGTAATATTTGTTAAAGTTAAATGATTAAACGCAACCAATGTATCTCACACTTTCATTTTTATATTATAATAACAAAATTATCAAAAAAAGCAGATTTAAATCTCTGTTATTGTTATGTAAAGCTTTATTATTGCTGTAAGTTCATCTCAAAATCTAATTGTATTGAATCTCATTTTAATCATCTAATGGTAATAATTATTATTATTATTATTTCATTAATATTATTTTTTAATGAAATATGTTAATCAAATCGCATTCCGCCTGAAGACTTACAAATCTAGTCCGTATTTACTATATTTTGTTAAATTTGTTGTTCTCGGTTTCTAATTTTAATACGAAAATACGCGAATATAAATGAAGAGTGAAAACAAAGTTAAAAAATTCACAAATTATTTACGAGATTGATTAGAAATAGTGAGTGAAATATAAACATTGCATACATTTTGTTCTAAATAAATTGTGCACTGGATATGCATTCAGTACTGCGTATTTATTTATGCACTATTTATTTAGAACTTCATTTAAATGAAAGCAAAATAATCATCGAAAAAATTGCAAATCTAGCAACCCCTCTACTATGGGACGTAAGCGTCCGACAAACATGTAAATTTTACTTCATCCATGGAGGGGGACTAACGACTTTTCTCATTAGGAAAATGTCAAAGAGGGGGCAAAACTGTTTCGGATCGCGCCGGTCTGAAGGCTATATTATGAGAATTTTGGCCCGGTTTTAGAAGGTTAACAGTATAAATATCAACAATTTTCCAACTACCAAAAAAAAAGGAACTTACTTCTAAAATCTGAATGTCCAATAACGACCCCAGCAAAAAATATTCTTTAGAGTCTAGTAATAAAAAATATATTTTTTTAAGAAGCAAATGTGCTATTTAGGCGATTTTTCTCCCAGCTAAAATCCCTGTACATCACTTTCAAACATCAGCTAGTTAAAAAGTCACTTCATAACCAATGACAGTACATTGATTGACATTAGCCATAATCACACTTTTAGCTTTTGGATGATTGTAAAATGGGTTAGCATTATTCTGACTGATCTAAACAATATGTGAAGCTCCTAGACATATTTGTTTGGACTGAAATGTTGTTCATATTGGTTTTCTTTTGTTGGCATAGCACTGGGAAAAGGAAGAAAGATTATGAAGGCATTTGAGTTCAGTTAAACTAGCAAAGTGTGCTCCTTCTTAAGTTTCTAATCTGATCCCCCCCTTTTTTTGTAAACATTTAATTTTGATGTAATATCAGAATTAAAGTCTTCATTTTTGATTATGTTGAAAAAAGCTTCTAATTCTAGAGATGCAGTAGGATGCCAAGTGATAATAGGTGAAGATCATACAACAGAAATTTTTCATTGCAATGACAATGCCTCAACTAGCAATCAACTAACAGATGACGAAATCCATAGCATGGTTTTAAACCCAGAAAATATCACTACTGATCATTAAGAAAATTACAAAGAGGTTTTTGAGAATGAAAAGATTTCAATAGACAGTTTCATGGAAGTTTTCAAACTAGCAATTGCAGAACTTGAATACTTTGTAAAAGAACAAGACATTATACATACCTATAACATTAAAGACACATTAGCACAACTTTCATTGAAAGAAATATTTAATAAAATACACAGAATAAATAGCACTGTTTTTGTAAATGCTGAGTTTCTCAAAATCATAAATGCTTCATTTACTTCATGAATAACTATTTAATAATTTTAACTCTATAATTTCTACATATCATCTTACTAGATTTAAATTGATCTAAAATTTGGAAATTCTAAAAATCCAGAATTTCTGAAGTCACAATAATTCCAGATCTCAGACTTGTACCTTAACAATTTAATTTGACTTGAGAGTTTGCACTAAATTTCCTGCAATCCATAGAGATTTGATTTTCTATTATTTTTAATTGACTATATAACTGTCAGGCTGATAAGAAAATAAAAGGTTTATTTTAAACTTTCTTCTTAGTTTGTGTTATTCTATTTAGCATTTACAATAACACAAATTATTTGACACTGTTAACAGTGCTAAGAATACTGTGGAACTCTACACAGTGAGTTTCAGAATGTGTTTTACTTACAGCATCAGCTTCTTGAAGCCTAGTGCCATTTCTGGATATTAAGTTTGCTAAATTAAGGAACACATTCAGGTGGCTAGGAGCAATACGTGCTTGATAGGCTTCACCCGGACGGGGTCGAGGTAAAAGATTCTTAGCCTGTTAAAAAATGTTTCATTTCAACATAATTCTCATCTAAGCTAAGAGTAAATATAATCTTTGATCAACAGGTAAATATGTCATAGACATGTTAATAAAAAATATTTTAATGTCTGTATTTAAAATACTTTAAAGATATTTCAATCACATGTATTCATTTAAAAGATTAAGTAAGGCATATTAAGTGAGCATTTATTATATTTCAAATAATTAACTTCAGTCTTTGCATTAGTTAATACTCTTAACTTTTAATGAAGTCCTATAAATTATAATTCAGTTTTACATAGAAAAAAAAAAAGAATTTCTCAATTTTTGTCGAAAAGTTTATTCTTATTCAACAAAAGAACATGAAAAAATTTCAAAAGAAAGAGATACAATAATAAAAAAGAAATTTAAAAGTTTTCACTCTATAGTAACAGCATTATTTTTAATTTTTAAGTTGCATACATATTAAGGTTAGTTATAAAAATTTAGAATGTTCATCAATATTAATCAGCAAAACAGAAACTATTCCTTAAAAATGACTAGAGTCATAAATCCCAGCAAAATGTTTCTTCACACTTCTGATCTCATTTTCCACTTCCTTTACATAATAAAATCCTCTTCCACTGATAAAATGCACCATGGATTAATAAAAACAATAATTGGAAAGGCCAAAATCTGGAAACTTCTTTGATTCCTAAAACCATTAAACATTTCAGTGAACGGCATGGTGCATTGTTTTAAGTTTAAAGGATAGTTTGGTATCTATGCATGCATAAGCCAGTGTATGCTTTTCATAAAACAGCAAACACTCACCATAGCTGACTTGCAAAAATATTTCCATCTGAAACCCAAGTTCCTCATGTGATGAGTTTTACATGGTTGGTTGGTTGGTTGGTGTTGTGGCCTTTGAGTAGTCAAATAGATGCATGTGTGTAAATCACAGCTTTTGCCAGTTTCACTATACAGCTCTCACTGGAAAGGAAATTCCCCCAAGCTTTGCAGAGCTGCAAGTACTGCCGGACAGGTTAAGATGTGTTCTGGAGAAAGCACCGTTTCGGGGCAGTTTCTACGAGTTGTACATGATCCACCATACAAAATATTACTCCTTTCCTTCTCGAACTAGCTTATTAAAGCCATCCTCTATGGTCCTTGGCCTGATTTAATCAGCTGTTATTGGTGTTAGGATATCATAGACGCATTTGTTTTTCACTACTATTAGACTATTATTTGCCCAAACCATAAATTTTATACCTTTTCACATAGAGAAACTCACTTCTAAGCCTGTATTAAATTGTAAGAGCATTTGAATTTCAGATCCAAGTCAGGTACTAGTAAGCATTCATGGAATGTGGCTAATTATAGAATCTAACCCTGACTGACAAAAAACGGACACTTGTTTTGAAGGATTATGCTGAATACTGCAGATAAGGCTTTATCATTAGTGGTCAAAAAGCAACTTGACCTCTTCCCAAGATTCAAACATGCTAGAACCATTATTTGTACAAATATTACCCCATTTCTCAGTTCCCTTTGGTAACAAAAAAATGTCTCTGGTCGCTGCAATAACAGCACTAAGCTCCCCCTTTTCTTAATAATGTCTTAACAGCAACTAATATCATACTTTGTTGATAACAACAAGATATTTATAATGCTGCACATTTATACATTCTTTAAGATTTGTGTGGAATGGTAGAAAAACTAAATCTTTTGAAAAACGAATGTGAATTTTTAATTCATCATGCTATTCTGATCTGCAGCTCTATTCTGACAGGCAGAATATAGATTTGCAAACAAGAAAATTGAATTATAAGACACACTTTTGTCAATCACAGCTTTTGCCAGTTTGAAGTAAAAATATAAATACTGAGTGACAATTATTGAACTATATGAAACAAAACTGTTATAACTTCTGAACGGTTGGCCCGATGAAATTCAAACTTCATGATTGGCCGCAGGGCATGATGGGAATTAGCATGCACACATAACTTGTTATTGTTGACCATTTTTAAGTGAAATGTCATAGTACAGCATGCCTGAGTGTATAGTGCTTGTAAAGGCCTATTATGTGAGCAATAACAGCCCGACTGTGGATCAAAGGAAGTTTGCAACCGAGTACAGGCTGAAGACAACTAGTCCAAGTGTGTGAACAATCGAGAATTTGATTTGCAGGTTTGAGAGAACTGGTAGTGTTTGTGATGACAGTGTTGGCAATGTCAGTCAACAAACAAGTGTCAAAACGCCTGAAAACATCGAAAATCATGCATTGCATTTCAAACCAAGGAAATCAATCAGATGAGCTGCACAGCAGGTGGAAATCAACCAGGAGACACTGCGACAAATTGTTGTTGAAGACATGCATCTCTTCCCATACAAAATTTAAACTGATCAGCCATTAAGGCCCTTGGCCATGAACAATGGTTGTGTTTTGCCAACACTACTGTCGAGAGAATCGACGAACAGGAATTTGATGTGAATATGGTTTGGTTTAGTGACGAAACCCACTTTCATTTGGATGGGTTCATCAGTAAGCAAAATTGACACATTTGGTGGACTGTCTGCATTTCACGATGGAGAAGCCTCTCCACCCTCAACAACTAGGGGGAAAAAGAGACAACAACTTGTGTGGTGTGCAATGTCCAGTCACAGAATAATCGGTGCGATATTCATTGATGGCACGGTGACTACTGAACGATACGTGAATGTTTTGGAAAATGATTTCATCCCCATTATCCAAAGTGCCTCTGATTTCAACAACATGTGGTTTATGCAAGACAGAGCTCAACCCCATTGGACCAAGACAGTGTTTGATGTCCTGGAGGAGCACTTTAGGGACCGCATTCTGTCTCTGGGGTGTCTGTAGGCCACTGGAATGCGACTCGCTTGGCCGCCATATTCTCCAGATCTGAACATGTGTGACTCACTTTTGTGGGACTATATTAAAGACAATGTGCACAGAAATAACCAAAAATCCATTGTTGAGCTGAAAACTGCCGTTCAGGAGGCCATTGACCCACTGAAGTGTTCCGACACTTCAGTGGGTCATGCAACACTTTGCTATTCGCCTGCACCATGTCATAGTCAAAGATGGCAGGCATATTGAACATGTCATAACATAAATCTGAATATCAGTAGCGATATTTACATGTTAATTAAAGTTTATGCACTCAGTAGTTTTCAAATAACTTACGTTTTATTTCATATAGTTCAATAATTGTCACCCTGTAATAATAATTTCATAAATTCATTCATTCATTGAATATAAATTCTGTTGTTCAAGAACAAATGAAGCACAAAGCAAGAAATCCAAATCTAAGGACTCAAATGGGCAAATACTAACTTACTAAGAACATTTCTGGCAAAAATTTGACAATAAAACATAACAGAATAGCAATGTGAATGTATTTAAAAATATTTCAAGTTGAATGAATGAGACAAGATTGTTTTATAATTTTACAATTACATAAACTAAAACGTGAATCAATCCACAGCACCAAGGAAAGCAAAAATTAGCAGATAATTTTAAGTTAATATGAATTACATTTATAAAAAAAAAAATTCGATGATAGCAAATGAAATAAGAAAATGAAGGTATGTAATTTAAAGCCAATCTTTATGAGTGTAACAATTCTACTTATTGTCAACATAACTAAATGTAATTATGCAAACCATTCTCAGAGATTTGTCTTTCATAAGTAAATATATGGTATAGCATCTGAATATTATCATAATACAGATAGCAAGTATTTTAATCAGTTTTAAAGTCATATAAAATTTATTCTAAAATCTTCAATAAAAACTAATAATAAAACATTAGCTCACTTTCCAAAATGCTTGCTCAGCTTCATCATACATTTTAAGGTTATTATAAGTTCTACCAACATTCATATGAGCACCTATATCATCAGGTTGTACACTGAAATAAAATTTCAACCAATTTAAATTGCAACACTTTAACTGCAGTTATAATACTTTACTCAAATTTTTAACCTATGTCAAAGCATATTACTAATGCATTTCATATTTTAGAACAAACATTTGTCATAGAGGAAAAACATCAAAGTTGCATAACTATTTTGCAATAGATTTAAAATACGCCACTTCTGTACAAAAATACAGTTACTCACTCAAATAGTATCTCAGTAATTTTAGAAGTATACATGTCTATTCATATCAGATATCAGATAAAAAAAAATATTTCTGAAACTACTTTTTAAATAAACTTGGATTGTTTCTTGACATATTCTAGAAGTTTCTGATAGCAATTTAATTTTGTACAATTAAATTTTATACAAAATTGATTTAAGAATTATTTTCCCATTACCTTACTATTTATGACTCCATTTCATAATACGCTATAAATGACCACCACAGAAGGAATATGAGAGCTGTACTGTGCTTTGCTCTGGGTCCTTTCTCATCAACTGAATAATATGTGTAGTGAAACTTCTATCTATTGGTTTGGTTTATTTGATTATGGCAAAGCGCTCAAGGGCTATCTGCCTAGGGAAAGGGATGCCTTCGTTGAGAAGTTCCTTTATAATTTGCAAGCCTAAGGAAAACTGGCTTGTATACAGGTTACACATGGGGAAAACCACAAAAACACCCATGCAACCAGCCTGTTCACAGGATTCTAACTTTGGATCAAACTAACAGTGTCCAGCGATTTTGCTGCTCCGCCGCAGGTGGGCCATTACAGCATTAACAAAAATTTATAATTAAATGTAGCTAACATTTAAACTTACAACTAATATAAAAAATACTCAATTACTTCAATAATTACATGGGGTGGTATGATATACATTTTTGAAATGAAGTCTTATTTTCAAGCTTATCACTCAATTTCTTCAATTGTGATTAAGACAGTCTTGATCACTGGCTTAATCACAATTTCTTCAGCTTATTTTCAAGCTGAAGGAATTCAACATTTCATTATTTTTAATCACAATTGAAGAAATTTAGTGATTAAGACTAAAAAGACAATGGTGAACTGAAACAAGTGATTGACTGAAAAGACACTGACAGAAAAGACAGTGATTAAGACTTTAATCACAATTGAAGAAATTGATTGAAGAAGACAGAAGAAATCGTGATTAAGACATTCACTAATTCTGTATTCTAGTATAAGTTCTAAATATTTTGTAAACAAATCATTGTATATTATCTGCTAAAACTATGACACAATTTATTTTCAATTAATTTGCAGAAGTAATGTTATTGCTTAACAACCCAGAGTTTATCAGAGCCCTTACATGACAAATATATTTACATAAAAAGAAGAAAACAAATAATTTTTTCAAAACTGACCATGATAAGGCACAAACCAGATATTAAATTACACTTTAATTTAATTAACTAAAATTTATCATATTAATAAGTCTTCACAAACAGAAAATTCACCCTAAATTCCTTTCTTTAATTAGGCATATATTACAGAAAAACAGCTAATTTTAAAATCTATTCAATATTGTTTCTCACACAGACATATATATAAGAAAATGATAAGCATAGAAAAATTATATTTCTATGTGTACCTAAATTCTTTTTGTTTAAAAGAACTGACTTTCCTTATGAACTTAAAAAATTTCCTTATTTGATAACCATGAAAATTCTGTAATATTCATCTTCAGTTATACCTTCGGGCACATCATCTAATTCTGTTTCATCTTCACCATCACTGTTATTCTGATTCAGAAATAAATAATCTCCATTTCACCTTGATTGTTAGATATACTACACTTTTTAATGACTTTTGAATTACACTGAGTTTAATTTCCTTCCATGCTTTTATTACCCACTCGCACACTATTTTTTATATTAGCATAATGTATTTGGCCTCTTTTTTCTTCCTTGCATTCAAAATTCACTTCAAAACCACAGCTTCAAATGACTACAGAAAGAGAAAACGTCTAACTACTAATTCTGTAAATTCAGTATAGATTTGATTGAAAATCTTAGAAAAACCTTCGATTTCAAAAGATAAGAGCATCGTATGTGCATATTTCAGGTTTCTTTATAAAGAAAAGGGTGTAATTTATATGGCAAACTTACCTAAAAACTAAAGAATTTGGTTTGAAATTATGGGTGTACATTATACATCAGAATATATGGCATGTATATGCATACATACATATATAATAAAATAGATTAAAAATAAAAACAGCTTATTTTATTTTGATTTGAGCACTGTATTTTTGTACTTAGTTTTTTTATTTCTCCAACTATAAGCTACCACTAGGACTTTTACATGTTATTTCAATAGTTTAATCTCAGTTTTCTGAATTAATTTTTTACACACACAATTTAGACTTTTTAGCACTTCCTTTCCTGGGATAACCACAAATAAAAAATTAAAAAATAAATTTATAATCTTAGCAGCAATAGTGTTAGACTTTTAAAGTCCATTTATGCTTTAAGTATTTTATATACATATATAACAGGGCATATAACAAGTATATATGTAAGAGGACAAAAACAGGGTTTTAACAAATATGATGATAAAGACTGAATTTGAGTGCGAAAATAAAATGTTACTGTTCCTTTGAAACAGAGGCCCACCAGTGGCCGAGCATTAAAAATCACTGAACACTGGTAGTTCAGTCCAAGGTTCAAATCTCATGAATGAGTTGACTGCATGGGCATTTTTGTGGTTTTCCTCATGTGTAACTTGTACGAGCGAGTTTCCCTTAGAAAGTCTACTACAAAAGTATCCATCCCCTTAGGCAGATAGCCCTCAAGGCTTTGCCGTAATCACATAAATCATAAACCAAACCCTTCTTTGGAAGAGGAAATTAAGCTAATCTTATTTAAATTGAACAAGAAAATTTTGAAATAATTGTACTAATAAATTTTCTGCTTCAAATCACTAAATATTTTCAAAAAGAGGTATATTTTTAAAAATTTGTCAGATAATGAAAGCACAATACAGCATGAGAAGTGGGGCAAAGGCACAGAAATAAAAAAATGTAGCATATTAATAAAAAGTTTTGTTTACTTAAAATGAACTCACTACTTACACAGATGCCTGTAAGAAGTACTGCAAAGCTTCTTTAAATAAGCCCTGACTTTCCAAAGCATGGCCTACGTTATTGTAAAGTTTGGCATTTCTCTGGTTAACTTTTAACCCAGCTGCAAATATGTCTTTTTCCGATACCCTAGAAAGAAATAAAATAGTGTATCTTTACGTCAAATATAGTGCCAAATTTAAAAGAATATTGTTTACGCAATTCCAAACCTGAAATAAGTATACTGAACATATAAAATTTATTTTAAAATAAATATAGAGTAACATTTATCACTTCATAAATTTACTACAATGCATAATTCTTTTAGACAACTTAGGTTTTAATTTCCTGTAGCAAACCTATTTCCTCCATTTTGCTAAATTTACTTAAAAGAAATTTTTAAAAAAATTTACATATTTAAACCCTCAAATGATAATATAGGACAGCTATGAATTTAGTGCATCAGTTTAAACATATTAATTGCAGCTCTCAATCAATTAAGTGTTTAAGTATGTTAAAAGTTATGCAGTTAATGCAGTTCTATTTTAACACTGCCTTAGCCCTTAAACATAAGAAAAAGAAATAAAACATTAAAGGCATGCATAGCTCAAACTTATATGCAAATTTTAGGTAAATAAATAAAAATTATAGAAGATTAGAGGATACAGTAGTGCCTAGGATTATTTTATATATCAAGCTTTGCTAAAAAGAAGGAAAAGTAATTTCGCAAGCTTAGTCCCCTCCCAGGTAAAAATAAATATTAAATAAATAGATGTTTTTGGCAATGTTTCTTGACTCCTTAAACACAAATTACAATCACCTTTCATGAATTTTATAGACGCCATTGCTAAACCACCAGTCAATTACAATGCATTATTCTCTCTATATATTGCTCTAATAAATAATCTGAATGTTGAAAATGTTAAAATTACAGCAGAAAAGAAAATATAAAATGCTCAGCAAGCAATTAGGCCATTTATGTAAAACAATTAAACAAAAATTATTTACACTTTTGACAAAGTTTGATTCTAATACAGCAGAAACTCAAGAACCTAAAAGCTACAAAAACTAAACCAACTTATCAAGAATTAACTGAGTTTAGATAAAAGCATTATAAAGATCTTATCATTGTTAGTGATGCCAAGCTTATCCATCAATGATGCTAAATCACACTATCTGACAACAGTTTTGTTTGTCAGTGGGAAAGATGTCTATGAGAATATAGGATATAGCAAGAGAGCTAGCAACATCTGCTGAAAGAGAGTGATGTAACTGTATTCACATTTTAGATGTTTTTTTGTTGATGTTGATGAGCAAGATTTTAAGTAGTAAACCTATGCAAACTTTATGATGTTTTAGAAGTCTCTAATTCGCACAATTTTTTGTTTAAAGACATCGTAAAATTTCCAGTTCTTAGACTTTCAATTTAGTTGAATGCCAGACAGTCAGGTTTGTACTGCATGCATCTAAAACTTATGACGAATTTTAAAGGATGATAAAAAATAATTTTAAGTGTTATGAAAAAGGAGTTTCTTTTAACATTTACTGGTCATGGCCAACTTAATCTATTTTAATAATTGTAGGCATACATAATTTTATTAAATATTAATTTTAAAAACCCATTAAAATAAACTTTAAGTTAATAATTTTTAAATACTTACCAATCCTTATTTCGCAGCACTGTTTTCATTGAATGAAACAGCAAAACAATGCCAATGCAGAATATAATGTAAGACTTCCTTTCGCTGTTAAAAATAAATAAAAGACTGCAAAATTGAACATATTAAAAATGCAGATTATTAATATTTCAGTTTATAATTCCATAATGCATACAATATTGAAACTGAAGGAAATACAGAATACTGAACTACCAAAATGTTAAATTTTTCACTTTGAATCTTAAATGTAACTAATATGGATTAACAAAAGAATAATATCTTTCCTAAATAAGAAAAATACACATTTTAAAGAGTTAAAAGTTATTTTTTATATTAATGAATATTTTTCCTATTGAGAAAAGAGATTAATTTATAAAGAACAAACCTTAAAATTTTCATATTAAGTATCTGTTATTTCAAGCAACAGTAGAAATATTAAAATAAAATTATATGCCAACAAAAAACATTCAATCGCATCATGACATAAAAAAATAAGGTTAAGTATGTAAACTAATGATGAGTAAACCGCTAACATATCTCGGAGCACAATTATTATTTTAATATCATACAACCAGATTTAAACATGTTTGCTACATTTATTTGTGTACCAGCATTTTGGTGAAAATGTAAAAAACAATCAGCTTATTACATAAACACAACATATATGAAAAACTGATCAGTTTGCACTGGAATTTAGAATTGCATTCCATTTTTAATACTACCTCAAAATTTTTAAAATTCACAGTTTATTAAAAATTAAATACAGGTTCTTATATTTGAAAATTAAAACAAAGCAATATATGCAAATTCTTTAAAATCATGCCCAATGATTAAATAACAATTTTAAAAAATATTTTTTATATTTCGAAATAATAAAAAAAAAATGTATTTTTTTTAAACAGGGTCCAGTCACTAAATGTGAACCTAATGTGGTAGTCTATTTATATCACACCATGAACAGCTAGCTATGTAATAAGATATGTAATGATTTTGATGAAGAAGATGTACAGCTACTTTCATTTATGCTTGATGTTGTAGATGGTGAGTTTGTAGATGGAGTTTGTAGCACTGTGACACATGACTATGTAGTTACAATCAAATGTGATGGCAAATTAACACATTTTATTTCCACACTACCTAACACTACCTAAGAAGCACATCTAGATAATGAATTATATATAATATTGGGCAAAATCTGCACCCACCTTTTTAAACACATTTCTAACTTTTTTACATCTTATGACAAATACAATGGATAAAACAGAGAAATGGGTGGTGACACGTTAACTAGACAAGAAGCAAAGCAGGAATGTGTAATGCATCCAAAAGAAAGCCTGGAAGAGGAGTTAAAAGCTTCTCAAAATGGTTTCAGTTTGCTTTTTTATGATCAGATAGAATGTGCACATAAATATCGGTACAGTTCTGTTATCAGGACCAGATTCAGAAATGTATGAATGTATGTATATTTGTATGTATGCACATGTGCATATATGTGTATATGTATACACACACATAAATTCATGCTAACATATATACATGCTCATATTAACACACCCATACACACATGCATACATTTCTGGATCCCGTCCTGATAACAAGACAGTACCTAAATATCTATATTAGTGGCATTATATAAGGTCATATGAAAAAGACTAATCTGGAAGTAATATACTTTAGAGAGATTTATTATATGCAATTACTGTTTGGGAGACAAAAAGGAAAAGTACCCAAATTAAAAGAGAGCCTAAGGTACTACTGTAAATTAAAATTACAATTTTACTTAATTACATATTTTCCCTTACATCAATACAAAGTCCAAAATCCAGATTTCCAATAACTGGAATGATCTATTATCCCATCCTCCTATAAAGACCTCCATTTTTTGTTCAGATATTTGATTTTTCTCAAGCATTGTAGTAATGGAGAACAGGTGTTAAAAAAATAAGTGTGCAACAGGCAGCATAATCTGTAGAATAGTTTTTAAATTCAGAATATATCATCACTGATTCTGAAGAAAGTGGTGAAGAGGTTGTTGAGAATGACAAGATTTCAAATGACTATTTAGTAGGAATTCTTGATACAACAATTATAGAACTTAAATGACAGAATTCTACAACTAAACAAACTATGTTTTTCTAAAAAGCTAAAAAGACAGGCACATGAAATAAAATTGCTTGAATAACTTGGGCTGAAAGAAATGTTCAATAAACAAAAATAAATGTTAACACTGAGCTTTTTCTTATACATTTTGGTTCCCTTAATATCACAAATGCTTCATTATTTCACAAACAATTTCACATTTTTAATTTAACAATTTCCACACATCATCTTACTAGATGTAAAGCGATGATCTACAATTTGGAATCGCTGAAATTCCAATGACTGCAGATGTCATACTTTGTACTATATGTTAGTGTTTAATAATGGCATTGTTAAAGCTATGCATAATGCCAAAATTGTACAATTCTCTTATTCTTTTTTTTAAGCATTTACAAATCGAAGAGAACAACAGTTTCCTTCTTCTTATGTACACAGCAATCTGTTCGCATCAGAAATCATACAATTAAATATAATATATATTATATTCATTACACATAATATAGTAATTTTTTTCCATGTAGTTTTATATATCATTAGGGCTGTCACCGTCTAATTAGATTTTGTGCCGATATTTATATTTTGGCACTAAGTGGTATCCTATTAACAGATTAGTACTAAAAAATTATAATAATATTTCAAGATGATCCTCTGTTAAATCAAAAAACAACATTAATATCCATTCCTTTCACACACAATATAATATTAATATCTGTTTCTTTCACACACAATATAATACTAATATCTGTTTCTTTCACACACAATATAATATTAATATCTGTTCCGTCCACACACATTGAAAGGCGGAAAAAAACACATATGAGCAACTGAATAAATAAGAACTTGAAAAATATTTCTTTCAATTTAGTTATTTAAGAACATTAAAATTACTATTTGCAGCTTGATAAATTTAAGCTTGAAAAATACTCAGTTCATCTAAATAATTTTTAAATTTACAAAATATTAATTCATACTGCGAAAAGTGTTTACTTAAAGATGAGGAAGAAAGAAAGCAAGCTAGTTCTCAATTTCAGAAAGCATAAAGCACTTTCAACAACAAAAATGCACTTTAATTTATGTCTGAGATAATTAAATCATTCCAAAACATTTGCAATAAACTAGCCCTTACAAAGAAAAGAAAAAAGCTATATTTACAAATAAAAGTTCAAATAAAATTCTCTCATTTCCTAATTTTTTGCCTATTTGATAACAGTTTTCAAGAATATTTTTATTTAAAATTTCAAAAAAGATATTATTTATAAGCAATTCAAGGATAATATTACGTTTTCAATGATATTATTTATAAGCAAATACAGAAATGAAAAATAAGAATATAATACCTATGGAAAAAAAGTAATAGCCTTTAAATAACAAAATTTAAGTTACATATTTATGACTATGTGTGACAATGCCAAGCCTAACAAAGTTTTAATCAACTTCCTTTCTTGAGAGAGAGAGAAAGAAAGAATTTTATGACAGTTGCACATTCACCTCACTTATTACTAAAATAAAATTTTTACATTTGTTTTCCGATGGACAAAAATATTTTCAAACTTACACTTTTTTGTATAGCAAATACCATCCATAAGCCACTAGCAGACAAAATCCCATGCTTGGAGTGTAAAGAATTCTTTCTGCTACAACAAATCCAACAGGAAAAAATAGATTTGATGCCGGAAGAAATGGAAGTATCAAAAGAGAAAGAGACTGAAATAAAAAGGAAAAATACTATACTTACACACAGAAACTAAATACTTAACATTCAACATTGATTCAAGCATTGGTAAAATTTGTAATTTGAAATAAATTTAGTTTTCAAAACCTGGATTAGCACTTTAAAACTTTAATACTCTTCTGTTATCAGAACTGGATTCAAAAATATGTATGATGAATGCATGTGTTCATGTATGCATGCATGTATAGATGTATACACATACATATATGCATGCTGAATTACTGAAAGTACACTGGTTATCATAAATTAAGGAAAAATCACAAAAATTACGGTTACTGAAAAAGTTACATGTACAATTTTATGAAACTTATCCACAATATACAACACATAGTAAGGTATCAAATAACATAAAAATAAATTACCAGAGAATTATGGTAGTATAAAAATTAGCACATGTATAAAATGAACAAATTGAAGGTGTCAGTTTGCTATAAGAAAAGGACCTTCAATATGGAATATGGTCACCTCTAGAAGCAATACAGCACATACAGCAATTCGTGATGCTTTCAATTATGCGGTCTATCAGTTCCATAGCAAGCGAGAGCCACTGCTCTTGCAAAGCAGTTGCAAGCACGGTAAGGGTCTGAGAGGGTGGATTGAGAGCATTAGACGTCTCTCTAAAGCATCCCTAACATGTTCAATATGATTCAAGTCCGGGGATCAAGCTGGCCATTCCATGTACATAATTGTTTCCTCTTGAAGATAATCATTTATGATGCGAGCACTGTGTGGTCTTGCGTTATCGTCCTGTAACAGGAAAGCATCATCTATTGCCATGGCACATGGATGCACTTAAGCATCAAGGATGTCATCTCTATAAACCAGAGCATTCACGATTTCTGTTGGAAAGACATGGAGGTCTGTGCGTCCACCCAAAGAAATACCATCCCAAACACAGACACTACCTCTTTCGTATGCATCTCTTTAATGGATGTTTGACGGATGATAACGGGTTCTAGGTTCTCTCCATATCAAATAACACCTATTATCGCTTTCTAGACTAAACCTGATGAATTATAATTTAATTTAATAAATGCCTATATTTTAATTTTCATCTCCGTAAAGAGAACAACCCTCCACAGATCAAGGCGTCAGTGGACATGTTGTCGTGCCTACTGCAAACGGTCCCTCCTATGGCGTGACGTGAGTGGCACGTAAATGGCTGGTCGCCTCGCATACAGACCACCTTCCTGAAGCCTTCTAGTTGACGTTGACAACAACCTTCCGGTGGCTGCAGCAAGGGAGGATTTAAGAAGAGTCAGAGTAGCGGTTCTATTCCTGTGTGCACATAATGTCAAATATCGGTCATCGGCGCTGGTTGTAGCAGTTGGCCGTCCTTGGCTAAACCTCCTAGATGCCTAATCTGTGGTTTGAAATCGCCTCCAAAGTCTATGAACCATAGAGGATTCACATTTAGCCATATGGCCAATTCTGTTTGACTTTATCCTGCCTCTAGTCTCTCATTGGCTCTCCATCGTGGTTCTGCAGGCAAATGATACCTGGAGGTTATTGTTACAAATTGGCTATCTCAGATTTCTGATGACACTATCACAGTGAAATATGTAGGCTTCCTCTCAAACATGGACTTTTATTCTCCTCGCAGATGACTTATTCCGAGTGCAGCGCCACTAATTTGCACATTGCAGTTCAAGCATTTCAGCAATTTCCACCCAAAGCTGCAAATTTTTTTTTTTTTTTTTTCCCATACTTTAATTTTTCATACCCTGCTTACCATGCTAAAAATCTAAACATACATGTACAAAAAATAAATATAATTTTCTTACACAAGTTACAAATCTTTTGAACAATGATACTAATGCATTAAACATTAGTCATTTAAAAATTAATACTATCTCTCATGCAATAATCAACGTGTGTGATAGCTTGTTCAGCCTCTTTACTAATAAAATATACTTTTATCAACAATCTACAGTATTTAGTGTAAATTTAATAACAATAACTCAGAAAACCACTTATCAACAAATCATCCTAGCAACTAATTGAACAAAAATCTTGCTATATAATTTGTGCATAATCTATAAATTTAATTTTTTTAAAGGCAACATTCCTTTGATCATAGCACAAACTTAACATTAACATATATTTTTATAATGAGTTTAAGCTGAAACAATTCATTCAAAAAAAAAAAAAAAAGTTTTTGCATGAACAGAAAATACTTTTATCCACATGTAAACATTATACTTATATTGAAGTACATAATTTTGCCCCTATTGACTAAAGAGTATTGCATTAAATGACTAAATAATTAAGTGGCTAAATAAGAAATTAAATGATTAAATAAATTTGGCAAAGGATACTGAAAAACAGTAAAACTAGCAGGAAATAATTTACACTTATTTATAGTTTTCCTGACAGTGTTTCTATTTAAATTACCTTTTCTGAAGCATCTAATAATTTTACTCATTATTGACATCATGAAAAATAATTACTTTTTTAATTATTACTTATTTATTAAACACAGTTCCAATGGCAGAAGTATAGTGAGAGATTTAATTCAAAATATTCTTTGCAATATGCAAATAAGTTAATTATGTCACTGCTCAGTATGGTTAAAAAAAACTTATTTCAACATGCAGATAAATTTCTAATAAATTAGACAATTACACTCAGAGCTTAAGGTATTCAAAAGTATGCTGCCTTAAAATGTATATCAGTTTTGAATGCTGCCATACTAATTTTCAAATAAAGATTTTAAATGCATTAAAAAAATTTTAATTACTTAAACTTTTTTGTTCCCATCATACCATAAATGATATGCATCAGTCTCCCTTCGTGGATTTATCCTATAATATGTGATATAGAAGCAAAGTGTCACTGGTGAATCACCGTATCACATTTGATATACTAAAACAGAAGATTTTATTTGATATTTTAAATGCTCATAAATGATGTCAGAATTCCATGAAGCTTAACTGAATGAAATACCTTGAGGGTTAACTTTGTTGTTATATGTTGTTATATGCATTATTTACTATTTTACTCTGCGAATGTAAAGCATGTAATGCTTACAATGTGTGTTCAGAATTTTAAAGGTTTCATATAGTGCTTAAAATTTGATATTTGACTACTTCATTTTTGCAGGGGAATATTTTAAATATGTAAATAAAATCATTAGTACTAATGTTGCCCTTTATTTTAAAAATTTATTTTAATTGCAAATATTAGCATTTCTCTTCCCATTAAAGAAAATAACACTCAGTTAACATATACAAAATTTTAAATATTTTGACAACAACAAGATTTACTTTTCCATGTTAGGCTTAAGTGTAGAATGGGAATTCAGCAAACAATGAAGTTGAGCATTCCAAAGTCATAGGTGCACAAGGGAACTTCATGCTCAGCACTGGGAGCAAAGAAATTAATATAATTTTTTATAAATAATATTTTTTTACAATTACCACTGCTTTTCAGTGTTGTGCAATTTTCAGAAAATGTCATTTCTTATCAGTCTATCTATCAATCTACTTATGTTTAAATATATAGATATATCAATTAGAGAGTTATATACTTTAAGAAAAATATTACTTAAAATATTTATAAAAGGAAAAGTTCATTACCACAGTGATTAGTTGAGAATGTTTTGAATCTGATGTTAATATTATCCACATCATAGCACCAAGTACACAATATAAAAAAAGAGTTGAAATGTTACGAGGATCTAGAAAAGATTCCACTAAAGGAATGGTTCCCATTGTCCAGTCACAACAGAGGTCAGATGGAAATATTAATAACCAAGCATTTACAGGCAAAAGATAGTTATATGTCAACTGCCTAGTAGGAGTGTCTGAAACAGCTGCCGGATTGTCAAACCTAAAAAGAAAAGTTTAAAAATACAGTAATTTTCAGGAAAAAATACTCTAAATTGCATAAAATAAAAAAATATATATAAAAGAAATTAAAAACCTATCAAGTAGCAGCAAAAATGCTTGTAGAGAAAAAAAACATACAAATGGTATAAGCAGAAGTCTCTTTTAATCATTTCAATGCAGTAGACAGCAATTATCACAGTTAATGTTAGCAAAAAATGTTCTGCAGAATTTTTTGTTCCTTTATTAAACAAATTCCCTGGAAACATCTATAACAAACTAAGACTGTTTTTTTCCTTAATTTAAAATTTTGCCCTGCATGTTCTCTTCTAGTGAGGAAGCCTTCCAAATATTAAGATTAGGGGTACAGTATCAATCAAATAATTTTAGAAACATTACGAACCAAAACATTATGCCATATATGTATCAAAGACATACAGTTCATACACATACTTTTACACTTTCCTAATTAAAGTGCAATGAAAACACCTATTTATATGTTTCTTGATATTTTTATATTAGATTAGTTAAATTCTGTTGCTATTTTGAAGAAAATCTTTTCTTAGAGGTTAATGTTATCAAAACAGCTGTGGACAAACATGATCATAATTAAATGGCACTTACTGTGTTTCCATTTACTACATTGGAGGACATTTCATCAAAATTTTAAAATTAAATTAGGAAGCTTCACAGTAACAGGATAAAAATCACATATCTATGTAAGATTTTGAAATTGTTTTGTTATTACTTATAAGAAATGCACTTTTAGGATGTCTGCTGTTTTAAAAATTATCAGATGTACATATAAATTGCATATCCCGCTGCTAATGCACACTGTGATCTTTAGATTTCTATATTTTATTTCTTGACCAATATATAAAAATAATAAAAAACTATATATGCCACATACGTTTCTTTCAATATCTGCTAAGAAAAATTTTAACATTTTTATAAGAGAAAATATTCAATGACTTCTGAACAATCATCACAGGCAGCATCTCAGAGTTAGGAAGCAATAGTATTCCTTATTCTTTCGTAATTGTATTTCTATCATTTTTCTCATCTTTGTGTGTTAATGGAGATACCTATTTCATTTCAAGAAAAAATATGAAACTGTGCAAACTTATTTTTGTTAAAAATTTTTTACAAACTTTCAAATCACATCTTGTTTACAAGATTCATTAACATACATAATCATGTTTCAAGTTTTACATTACATTTTATTAGTAATGTTAAGTTTATTTTTTAATCTTTCAAGTCATCTATTCTAAACAAATTAATCACATTAACTTCAACTATGGATTTCTCTCCTTTTTCTTTCTCTCTTCCCCCATTCTGTTATAATTTAGCTTAAGTTACCATCAACAAAAATATTTTTGCTCATATACTAAAGCCAGGTTTTCCTATATTTGTTTAATGTGATGTTTTCTAAGTTCACTTTTCAATAGAAAGAAAAAAAAATTAAAATAAAAGCAGTTACAAAAAATATTTTTTTAAAAAAAGGCAATTTGAAAGCTTTTAAATTTTATACTATGATCAAAATGGTTATTTTTTTGCATGTTACTTTTATTTATTAAATATCATGTTCTTTGCACTTAAACTATAAAATTCAATTCAACAGCAATATCATAAAATATTTAGAAATAGCACATTTTTAGAATTTCTGATACACAGTCTCACGTACTAGGGATAAAAATATATTTTATTCTCCATAGTGTTGCCATTGCTCGCTTTGAAATTTTTGAGTTTATAAATAAAAAATTCATTAAAGTTTTACAAAATTTGAAATAGATAATAAAACAAATTCAAAATTCAAAATTCTGGCTTTCAAGTGCTCATGTTCAGTTAGAGAACTACGTTATTCAAAATTTGATGGTTCTAGGTACCATTGGTTTTTTCACAATGCATGAAACATTCATGCAGATTCTTCATTATTTAGTTTCTTTAAATATAATATATAGCAATAATATTTGCTGGCAACAGATTGAAAAGTAAATCAATGCAGAAATGAAACGACACATAATGCTGTTTTAAGACAAACAGCCCTTTGGGCTAAAAAATTGACATGAATGATAAATTAGAAATTGACGCTGCAAATGTAGTCTAGTTACACGACTGTTAGCTATGCCCAAATGTTAAAATTCTCTGATAAAATGTGATATACACTATTTTATTACAGTATAACTAATGATAAAATTTTCGACAGTTCCAATTCTCTGATAAAATGTGATATACACTACTTTGTTACAGTATAACTAATAAAATTTTCGAGAGTTACCTTTGATCTGCTGAAACATTTTGTTAGAGTACTTGAGTAAAAACGAATGAAATCAGAAGAGATGCAAAAATATAATGAAATGTTACACAAAAGGCTGTTAAAATTATGTAATTTAGCAGTTATGATTTTCTTAATTGCATCAAAAACTTAAACTCTGATAAGTCTGATTTCTATATATATCTGTCTTAACAATTTCTAGCCAACCTCAAATTAGGAAATTTCAGTATATTAAAAAATAACTATCACAAATTATCAAATAAGACCTATTACAAGCTTTAAAAATAAATTTCTTGGGTAGCAACAATTCAAATTCAAATCATTAAACTTCAAAAAGTGACTACCACAGAGATATTTTTCTTGCCAATTTATTCAATTTTCTCCTATTGTTTGATTAATGGAATAAAATTAAATGTTTTTGGGGGGGGCATCAGCTTAATTATTTAAAATAAACACAAGAATGGGAGAAAATAATAAAATTTAAGCGCAAAAATTTTAACAAATTAAAATTTTCACTGTTATTCTCTCATAAACATTATTATTGCAGCAGACAATCTTACAATTATCACTTTCTATAATGTGAAGAGTAATGAGACACAATCCAGTGACTTCAGCGATCACATGACTTATGTACAGCTAATGTAAACAAAAGGGTCATTTTTCCTCTTCTCTTGCAGAATGCATGTCAAGTGCAGTTTTTAAATTATGGAAACATTTATTTTTTATTAGCTATCTATATTCTAATTTTTTAATTTTCATAACTAAATTCTAATTTTTTAATAATAATAATATACTCACTTAGTAAAAACAGGCAACTGTGCTCCCATTATTTTAAATCTTGCTACAAGAAGGCAAATAGCAGTTACACTGATAACAGTTAGACGAATAACCATGTTTTGCAACCATGGAGGGGGTGAACTTTTTGATACAATGAGAGACTGTACTATGTGAAATATATCTGTAAATCGTAACTGAGAGGGAGAAAAACATTATTACTTTTCAGATACAATTTTTATATATCCTATTAAATTATATAACTAATTTTTCACTTAAAAACATAGATCCTAAATAACAAAGAAATTTTACTATTTTTCATGCCTTGATTTCATTCATTCCATTTACTAATGAAAGAATTAAATCTCATAACAAAATGTAGAAATTTAATTACATTACATTCAAGATAATATCATAGTTCAGTTACCCTGAGATATCTTTAAAATAATGTAATTAAATTTCACTACTGAAATTAAAACTTTAGATTATTACCTTCTGCACAATAAATAATTCATATATGAAACAAACTCCAGCAACAGTAATGCCTTGTTCCTTTGATAAAGTTGCAAGGATTATAAACACTAAAGTAGATAATAAAAGCTGCCAATCTAGGGAAGAAGAAAAAAAAAGAAATTGTAACTACAAAAATTAAAATACTACAATTTTGATTATTTATATTCTTAAAAATTAATTGAAATCAGAAGTAGCTCATGGAAACAAATATAATCTTCATTTTACAAAATAAAAGAAAATCTAAAATTCTAGTATTTCTAAGAACAAGCATGTGGCCAAAAAAATACATCCTAAATTTCATAGATTAACAAATATGACATAATAATTTATGTTAAAATTGCAAGTATTATTTAAAATTGAAACAAATATAGTTTGTTTTGATTGGCTTTGAAGGAAACGTTGTCAAGACAACAATCATTATTTCAAACACATATTTGTAATCGATTTCTGAGTCTGTTCGAGTTATTTCTTATATTATCAATACAATTTTGATGGCATTTTTATAATAATACCTGCTTACCATTTTATGGCATCTTTTTAATAGTAACTGCTTTACCATTTCCAACTACCACAATGGCTTGGATAGGTATGCATTTTACTTTTGTCACTGAAGCACTTACCTACTAATATAATAATTTTGCTATTATTGATCAATGCTGCTATTACAGACGAAAATAAAATAAACTATTATAAAATGTTTCAAATTTTAGAACCATAGGCTTCAGATTGTGGCTTGAGACATTGAGAAAATAATCATATGAAAGACCAAAATTCACCCAAATACTAGAAAATGCTCAAGTTAGAAGATAATTTGTATGCCATGAATCTACCAGTTTTTTTTCCACAGTAAGGCAATCTAGGACTTTTTTTTTTTACAATTAAGAACTATTAATATAGCATGCAATCATTATATAAGTGAACAATGTAAAATTCCTATTATACCATAAAATAATAAGGTTTCTAATAACTAATTCTAAGGTAATAAGGTTTAAAATAGTAATAAGTAAGTAAAATCCCAAAATGTCTTACTTAAATGCTGTTCACTTTACAGCTCCGTGTACCGAGTTCATTATGATAAGGTTACACATACTGATGAAATACAAATCAAGCAACTTATATTCATAATAATAACACAAATTCAAAGGATTTTGGAAATCTCACATTCTTTAATTACGAAGTTTTTTTGGCAATAATGCTTAAAAACATTTCAGTATTTGGAACATTAAATGCTGTTCACTTTATATATCCATAGACTGACTTCACTGTAATAAGCTGAAATACAAATCAAGCAATTTATATACATACTAATTTTTGATACAGAATGTCATAAGAGATTACTAAAATCTCTTATACCTACCCCAATACTGAAAGTGTTGCATTCTAAAACAATAGTTTCTTTTATTTATTTATTTTTTTTTTTTAGTTTAAAATCACTAGAAGTGACTTACTATTCTATTATTTTTCTACTCTTTTCAAGAGTACACCTGCAGTATTCACATGCAGTTAAATGAAAATGTGAGAAATTCTAATTATGTAACACACTGCTACGAAAAAGATACCTTCATACATCCCTTTTCCCAGTAAAAAATTATCATTTTTAGTACATGCCTATATTTCACTCAACCTTTAGATTTTATATTTAGAATAATTTTAAAATGCAATTTTTGAAAATTCTTTGCTTCATGACAACACTGAATACATGACTGAATACAAAATTATATGTATAACACAAACACAAATTGAAAGGGTTTTGTAAATCTTACATTCTTTAATTACGAAGTCTGTTTGGGAATAATGCCTAAAAAAAAAAATTCCATAGACAGTTAATTGTATAATATTTACCCTACAAATTTAATAAAGATTTAAGGTCATCATTATTGTATTCTCTTATCCACTCTAGCATGGTATTTACTTTAAATTCTGATTATTTTAATTGTCTTGATTTTTTTTTTCCATTCAAAACAATTTTAGCATTAAAAAATGCAATGTAACATAACAATTCATAAATCATTAAATCTCTAAACTATTTATCCATACATATTAAAAGCACTATGCTATTAAGGAATACACTATTAAGCTACTATGGAAGTTATTTACAACAGCTGCTAAATTTGTCTTACAGTTTCACAATTCTTACAGACTTAACTGAGAGCTAATTCTCTCAATCAATAATGTCCATGAGACCCAATTATCTCAATTGAGTCTAATAAGGTTACTCTCAGACCTAACTGTCATATTGCTTCAACCATCAATCTGGTAATTGTTTCAAACTCAACTGACACAATCATCCAATTCCTGGGGCTTAACAGACCATAACACACTTAAACATGGAGGAAAATCTCTCTTACAGAATGAAATGACTTTTAAATGACCAAATGTCATTCCCCATTCCAAAAAACTCTACTCTTTTTATTTACACATTCTGACAGTAAAATATTTCTATAGCATATTGAATATTAATCTCTTTGCTCTCATGTTTTTGGTCATGTGCTTGTGCTTCAAGATCATACAGGCAAATCCATTTGGTAAGATAATCTGAATATGGCAAAATACACAAGGGCTATATGTCTAAGGGAAAAGATGCTTTCATGGAGGAATTTCTATGGAAAACTTATTCATATTCATGATAGGTTACAGCCGAAAATATTGTGGCATAAACATCATGGAGAAAACAAAGGAAGATGAAAATGTTGTGGTACAAAACATCATGGGAGAAAATAAAGCAAAGAGAAAACATCGCAGTTCTTAAACATCAAGGTACAAAATATCATCATCGAAAATAGAACGGTTAAAAAACTTCGCAGTTTAAAATCATTGCTGTCGAAAATATCGTGGTAAAAAATAAAGTATCTACAAATCATCGCATGATGATAACATTGCAGACATGCTTTTTTCAGGCTTTAATAATTGTAAATGGATATTTGTGTAATGATTTGTGAGAGCAAGATGGAAAGAAGAATAATTTTTACTTTCATATTTTTTATTAACCAATAAATTTTGAAAAAAACAGAACAAGAAATTTAAACAAAACAAGAAATAATCTTCACTAAAAGAGTGTCAGAATAGCAAAAGTGAAGAAAATAATCTCATAATTAACTTTTTTATAGATTTTTTTATACATATGGTCATGCAGTTACTTATCTTTCTTTTTAGATTACACTTTTCGTGAAAAATTACTAGTAAAACTTAAAAAGATAATTTATTAATGACCTTTCTTAGTTAACTATGTCAGTTTAAAATTCTATTAAGTGCATTAATTTTCTATGCGTATGTTCCCATTTTGCACTTTTAGCAAATATTTATTAGCTACTAAAAATATGAAAGTAAAAATTGCCCTTCTTTCCTTGAGTTTACAAATGATTATGCGAATATATCCATTTACTGTTATCAAAGCTTCAAAAATGCATGTGTGTGATGTTATTGTCATGTGATGATTTTGTAAGAACTTTATTTTTTACCACAATATTTCTGATGACGATGTTTTTAGCTGCAAAGTTTTTGAACCGTTCTGTTTTTTATGACGATATTTTGTACCACGATGTTTTAGAACTGTGATGTTTTTCTCTTTGCTTTATTTTCTCCCACGATGTTTTGTACTACAACATTTTTGCATTGAGTTGTTTTCTCTGCGACGTTTTCGTCCGGGTTGTTTTCCCGCGATATCTTCGGCGGAAACCTCATGCTACACATGAAGAAAGTCATGAAAACCAACAATGCAGTCAGACCATGCTCTGGATTGAACTACCAGCATTTAATAGTTCTAAACACTCAGCCCCTTGTGAGACTAAATCTCATCTGGAGTTAGAGCTTATTTAGTCATTTAAGGTTACATAGTATATATACTTTGCTGTATACAATAAAAAAAAATATTTGGCACTAACAAACATCAATACTGATATTAAATTATGCATTACTATTTTTTTTTTCATATGCTTTAAATAATATACAAAATGATAGCTCTAGAGTGTTATCTCAGACAGCATTCTTACTATTCACTGTTTCATTCTTTAGTTATATCTAATGAAAAAAGCAATTTCTAATTCTTCAATTTATATTTGATACAGAATGGTAATGTTTACTGCTTTGTTTGGAAACAAAATTTGTACTGATTCACATATAAAACTGCAATTTTTTTAGTAAGATGAGACATCGTACACCACTATATCCTTAAAACATGTTGGTTTTCATTCTATTACAATGACAACTAAAGTTTTGGCACTTTATGACAAGAAAATATTTTAAAAATTTAAATCAACTTACCTGTAGTTTGAAAGGAGCGACTACATTTTACATATGAAAGAAATGCCAAAAGGAAAAACAGAGAAGACAAAATTTCAGCTCTGCCTACAACACCAGTTACCTATAAAAAATGTTGGCACATGTAATTCATAATCTCAAAATGCAAAATTTAGCTTTTATTTTATATTTTATTTTGGTATTTTGATTTCATGCCACCATATTTTCCTGGAGGAAAATGAGTAAAAATTAGATATCTATCTTTCAGATTATTCTGCATTCATACACTGCCACCCAGCCAGTATCGTAGGTAGCGATGATGACTTCCATAAGAGGTTAAAGGCATGGAGAAGGGGGATGGGAGACCTTCAGACTGCCTCTCATGGTATTCTCTCTCAGAATTGGTGTGGAAGCTTAACAGTTAGCTATTATCAGCAATACTTAAATCACCTAGGGTACTACAGAAGTGCTGGCCTAGTTTTTACCTATACCTGCACTCATACATTCAGGTATTGAGGTGAATAAGTGAAGAGGCTAACAGCTTAATTTTTATCAGAATTTTTTTTCTTCCTGTATTTGTTTACAAGATTGTTGGTATATTATTTGGATTCTTTTCGAGATATTTCTCTCTGGTGAATATCACTATAATTTAACTCTATGAAATCATATTTGTCATGGTTTGTTTTTGCCACGATATAATTCAAATATTACATTCGGTTTTACATACAGATTACTTACTTAATTTTGTGTACATGAGAAATTTTTATTTCATTACTCTATCTGTATTAAGCAGTAATTATTTACTTTCAATTCTTAAAAAACAAACCCAGCAATAATGACAAAGCCAATTAAAAAACATACACACATAAAAGTTTTAAGGCAAAAATTGCATTTCTTGAGAAATATTAGTAAATTTTTTCTAACAATGAAACTTTTGTTTCAACACAGAATTCATTTATTGTCCATAAAATCTCTTTAACATATGAATGCTTTTTCACCAGTTATAATAAGCAATAAAAATGCAGAAAGACTACCAATTTAAATATATCATACTGATTATTTTTAATATAAGTCAGCTAAAAATTAACTTCATCTCTCTCTCAATAACAAATGCTAAATCGTAAAATATAGATATTTTTATTTTCCTTCTCACAACAAATCATAGATCTTTTAAGCATTGTAATTATAATTATATCATAATAATATCAACATTAAATCAGTTAAAATATGCACATACAAAAAAGAAATAATTTTTTTAAGAATATGCCATTAATGAATGTGAAATAGAACATTAAGTGATGTACGGCAAAATTTAATATTTTATTTCCTTTCAATGAATATTATTGAAAATAAATTTCTTTTTAATGAGAACTTTTGCTTCAGTTACTGTCCAACACAGCACAAATGTAAGTAAAAGCAAAAGCATGCATTAAATTTGTTTCACAATAAATTCTGTTACCAAAAAAAAAATCTGAAACATTAGACAAAAAGCTTTTGACGCTAACACATTATCAGAAACAAGAGTTTTTAGTGACTTACAATGTTTACGAAAAGCAGAATATGCACTGAAGATAACTACACTCTTCAATAAAACATATTCATGTATTTAAACTAATAAAAAATAGGGTACTTATGGGTTATTGCACCCATATCACTTTAACAAAAGTCACCAAATTTTCAGAATGTGCCAAACTCAGGCAACCATGTTCTTAACCATTTTTCAGGTAATCATGCTCATAACAATCCTTCAGTCAAGCAACGCTGCCATTTTTGTATGCATTCTTTTTCACTATATTCCTTGTTTCAATGGTTTTATAAACAAATAATGGTTTTTCTTTCCCTTTAATTTTAAAATATGGGCTTGTGGAATTTGGCAGAAATAGAAAAAACTGTGTTAAAATTTCTGCAGGATACAAAATTTTGTCACAAAATTTCTAAAGGGAGCAATGAGGAGATGCATTTGGTAGACAATCGCTGGTGCCAAGTCTCTGAAATTCTATGATTTTTTTCCTTAAAGTGAAAACAGATCCATGTGTACTTGAGCAGAAGAATAGCACAAATCAATTACAGAAAGATTTGGAGAAGAATGTAAGTGTTTCATTTTTAATGCATAATGAAATCCTCATTTAATAATTAAAATATGTATTTTAAATTATTAAAGCATGTTTTTGTTTCATATATTCAAAATGTTTGTCGACTTATGATAAATACCAAGGGTTTGGGAAATCTTTTTAAAAATCTCCCGAAAACTACCAACTTGAAACTGATAAGTAACTTTTATCTTTTCATCTCTTAAATGCCAAGGTGGTTGCATTAATATGCAAATACTAGAAGTATAGAAGTCAGATTTTCCCCTCAGTAATTGTCATTTAACAATTAAACAGGCTACCAGTGATGAAAAATTGATCTATGATTCTAATACAGAAATATTTCAACAATAAAGTGAATAATCCTTTAAAGGTGATGAAAGATAAAAAAGACCATATCAAAAAGTTAGTCAAAAGTCAAGACAATGTTGACCATTACCTTCAACTGCTGCAATGTTCTGCATCAAGCATTTCTACTAATTAGTTAAACAATAAAGAGAAAAAATTATTTGAATGTTTTGCAGCATTTGCATGAAGCAACTGATTGAAAACAACCAAAACTGTGATAGGATGACTTGTGGGTGCCCATGTCCCTATGATAATTCATCTATTCAAAGTACATTTATTGTTCCACATCACATGACTTTTTTTTCTTATTTCCACAGATAAAAATGCCATTTCGCAGACACTGTTTTAAATCTATTGATGCAATAAAAGAAAATACTGCAAGTTCTGTAGGTATTTCAATAAAATGACTTGTTTGAGGCTTGGAGGGAACAAAGGGTTATTTTGAAGGGATATGAAAAATATTGGCCAACAATGTGAAATCTTTGTATTTTATACAACCCTTCCCAAAATTTTTTATCACAATAAGCACTCTACTGTATCAGGCACAATCAAAAGGTTTCAGCCATTTTGTTTTTCTTTCATATTTGACATGAATATGTTTTCTTTATCATAATATACAGTGTCTATTTTATATAAAAGCACAACATATGTTTATTTTCTTCTAAAGGCTGTCAAACCTTTAGGCATTCACACATGCAGAGTGTTCAAAAACTGATGGTTGTGCTTTAGCAAATTATTTCTTTCATATTAGTATGTTACAAACAGCATGTGAGTACTGAAATGTGAAATTACTCAAAATATTCATAAAAAATCAAACTGGTGAAAGTATGCTTGATGCATATAAAATATAATATTTAGCACTTTATAAACTAAAATATTTTAACATTAACAGTCCAAACTTACTGCTTCTGTATGAATTGGATGAACAGCAAATAGTAAGGCAGCCACAAAACTTGCAGTTATAGGTAGAAACAACTGGCAAATTCTAAAAATAAAATACTTCATAAAATAAAACAGTTTAACAGAATATAAAAAATTCACTTATAAACTAAATCAAAAAAAATCTGTTGGAGATTGTTATACTATTTATTTTTAACATAAAAATAAATTATTGGCTTCTGAAAATTGGCAATGATGGTATAAATTCTAAAGATCTAACAGTCACTTGCATTTTATTATTATTCTAGTAGTTGCAATTACTGTCTGCTTTGTAGCTTAAATTCTTATAAAATAAATTAGTTATTAGTTTCTCTTGTTTCTAATAACATGGTGTTACTTTTAATCTGTAACATTTGGTCCTCCCTTAAGCCTCAGAAAAATGGCTGCCATTATCTTGAAAAGGTATAAAGTTGCTTTGAAATCTAATCTTACACATATACAAAATTTTATAAAAGCTACAAAACAAGCCATTTCACATGCTGCTGAAGAACTTGTATTGATCATAGGACTACAGCAGCAAATGCATTCTTTAAAAACTCTGCTTCATAGTGTGAATTATCTGCATAATGGATATTACAAAAAAGCTAGACAAGAAATTAGAAGAAACTGATATTTGTTTAAATGAATTAGAAGTACATTGTGAACCAAGTTTTTTAAACCTCATTACTCAGTACTCAGAGTTTCAAAAAATGAACTATAAGTTGATCCCATGTGCCATAAATTTGAAAACTCTAAAATGTTCCTCTTCTAGAAAATCTCCTACCAGAATTCCCCGGTTTGTATGAGAAGTGGAGTAATTCCAAACCTATATTTAATAATCTAATATCTAAAATTCTTCAGTTAACAGATTCTCCAAAATGTTTTTATTTACACGCTGTGGTTCTAGGTCAAGCAAAGTTAATTCAAACCTCCAACAATGCATATGAATGGTTATTTAAAGCATAAAAGACCAGATTAAATAGAATAGTTATGAGAACAAAAGAATAATCAGATTATGAATTAGAAAAGAATAATCAATAGTTACAGATGTTCAGAACTTTATAAAACTATCCCAAACTTACTCAAGAGTCAGCTAAAGAACTTCAAGAAATGGTAGATCATGTAAAAAAAGAATATACAGACACTGAATTAATAAGAATTTGATAATAAACTATCAGATATATTTTTAATATATGTTACCCCTCAAAAACTTCATCAAAAGTCTAGAAAATAACTTGAAATGACTTTCACATCAAACAGTGTATTCAAAATTTAATGCATTTTTGCAATTTGTTGAAAACCAAGTCAGATGTTAGAAAGCTTATCATAAAATATGCTATTTAAGAGTGTAAATAAATTTGCAATTTCAGCAAACTTATCTAATCTCAAAACATCTTGTAGTTAGTTGAAATAACCTTTCAAAACAATCTTCTGCTGTGTGCAAAAAAGTGCACTCCATAAGATTCTAATTCCAGCACTCCATTTATAGATATAAATACGAGATATCTGATGTCATGGAGAACCATAGACTCTGATGTCATGGAGAACCATAGACTCTGCTTAAATTTCTGATTTCCATCTCATAAAGTTATAAGGTATTTCTCCCTACTTCTTACCATGCTTTCAGTGCATATTCAAGAGGTACGTAGTTCGAGTCCCAATGAGGACATTGCTCATTTTTCATCTCTCCTGCTTTTGAAATATTCTAATGTCTCTAAAGTGGCGCCCGAACTAAAACGGTGGTGGATGATGATTCTTTCCACCAGGACTTGGCGATTTAGCCCCTAATCCCCAGTCACCCTTTAAAAGGGGGAGTATATAAGGTATTTCTCCCACCTCCTTAGCATGCCATCGCAGTGTAGTGGTCAGCACACTCGGCACATATTCCAGAGGTCCATGGTACGAATCACGGCGAGGACATTGCTCATTTTTCATCTCTCCTGCTTTTGAAATATCCTAATGTCTCAACAAAATATTTAAATATAAGTCAAAGATGACTTGTTTGATGCATAAACTTAAACATCATACATTATTACATAGAGAATTGAGTAAAGATTTGCTTTGCACCTGCTTTGATTGAAATAACTGAAAAGGCATCTGCCCAAGGTATTGTTTTCCGCTCAATCATTAATAATGACTTAAAAAAAAACCACTATCACTCTTATTCAAAATTTATTTCAACATAAACATCCTTGATTCCATTCTAAATATTAAAAAAATAAATAAATAAAAGGTGACTTTTCAGATTTAAAGGGCAATTATAAATTTAATTTAGATTTTTTGGCCATACCAAAAATAACTGATATTAGTTTATTTATAACAATTAACATTTCAAAATTGAAAATTAGTAATACTGTTTTAGAAGACACTGAATTTTATAAACCCAATAAAATTGATTATTGCTTGAAGTCGAGTTGTTTTCTGAGTTTATTACAAGTAGAAAGGTTCATGTGGAAGACAACAAATTGTTTCAAAAAACCATATTTAGTTATGTAGCATTAGGCTCAATTGAAACTTCTAGTTCAGAAGAAAATAATTCAGTTATTGATCACTGTTATTTATCTGTGAATATGTACAAGTTAAACCAAAAATTTAAATCCTTTTGGGAGAAGTACAAAGTTAGTCCACTCCGAGTGAAGAGTTGAGATATTGTGAGGAACACTTTGCTTGCATTCACCATAAAAAATCCAGTGGTCACTTTGCTGTACAAATGCCAATTAAACTTGATGATGCAAAAAGTGTAACTTTGAACAGTTCCAAACAGCTTGCTTGAAAATGCTTACATTAACTTTGGTATCTGAAATGGGATAAGAAATGGGCAAAGATGAAAATAAAATAGTCAAGCTTATTAAATCTTTCCATGAATTTTTAAGCACGCTTTAGGTTTAAATATACTTTCATTTTGAACTACTGTGTTTCAGTCTTCAAAAAAAAAAAAAAAAAAAGAAAAGAAAGAAAGACCAAAAAAGGAATGTGTCTTCCTTTTACCAAACCGTAAGCTTATTTTTTTCACATACATATTAAATTGTTAAATATTAATTTTCATCACAAATTAGTAATAGCTGATTATATGTTAGCATCACCCACTTCTCAGTTTTTAAATATTTCTGAAAATAAACATTCTTTGATAAAGAACACAGTTTGAGAAAATTTTTGCGAAATAGTAACATAAAAGATTTTTTTTTAAGAAAAAGTGAGGAACAATGCTTAATTACTAATGATATAAAAAAAAGAGAAATCAGTGCTTTCTGTAGACAATTTCATAATAACATCTTCACAAGAAAAAACATATCATTTAGTAAAATAGTTTTATTTAGTTCAATCATTTAGTTGTCAAAAATTAGTTCAAATTAGTAAAATGACTTACCGCAGATACAAAAGGCAGACTAATACATGAAGTACTACATTTAACAAGTGATAACCCCAGGGATTTAGCTGATGTAAAGCATAATTTAAACGAAAAGTTAAGACACAAAGAGGTCGATATGATTTGTGACTATGTTCCTGAAAAAAAATCAATAACAATACATTAAAGGAAAATTAATCATCAACAAGCACAAAATATAATAATAATGACTTTTTTAATAAATGTTTCTGTGACTATTGCTTAAGAACAGTCAGCACAATATAGCTTCTTCAAAGAAAATAATTTAATCCCACAAAAAAAAAAAAAAAAATCTTGTAAGCATCTACGCTTCAACAGTAAATGGGTAATTAAAGTTAAAAGTTGAATTTCTGTTTGTTTATTTTCTATTTCTGTTTATTGCTTTCTAACTGTGGTTTTCAACTAATACTTACATTTTAAATATAAAACAAAATTAAAAGCACTTAAACATATTTCTCAGAATCAATATAAAGTCTGAATGAAAGATACTTGTTTGTTTCAATATTTAACATAAAATATTACCTTTCACATTAAACTTCACATTAAAAACACTTCTTAACTTCTAAACATACTTACACATAACTTCTAAACACACTTAAAATGAACTTCAAATTAAAAAATTAATTAAAACTAATTAATTTTTTAATGTGAAGTTCATCTTTGCAGAATTGCCATAATACTTCAATTTATTCTTTAGGATACCCATTTGTCCCAATGATCAATATTCAAATACTATTCATCAATTTTAATGCCTTATTTTTTAGTTTGAAATTTCATAATTCTGTATATTAATTTTCAATAAATTCTATTCACATAATTTGTTTTTAACATTTTAATTTTTATTTACATGTCTGCTCTTACTACAAGCTGTATTTAAAAAATATTATCAATTAGAAATTAAGCTAACCTTAAAATGAGTCTGGTATACAGAGTATCTCACTAGCATGATCACTTATTCCTTATATATCTTAAGTACTTATCAAAATCGTAAAAACAACCTTCTATTTAGCGTAAGTATAATGAAACACTCAATCGATTTCGAGGGGCAAAAACGTCCCTCTCATCGGAGAAAGAAATACCTAGAAAGAAGAAAATAAAGGAGAAGGAGTCTCAGAAACACATGGTCCTATTAGCACTGCACGTGGTTTAACTGTTTTTAATCAGAGTTGCAGGCCACCTATTTTACTGAGCCAGGCTATCTGATCAAGAATAAACAAAAAAATTAGAGAAGTTAATAGGGAGCGAGGGGCAAATGCACCTTCACGCTCAAATCTGAACTTTAAATAATGGAAAGCAACCATGAACAAAAAAGAGCATTGAAGTTTCGTATCAAGGAACATGAATCTTATGTCAGAAAAGGCAAAATTAACAAGCTTCATAGCGTATCATAGTTGGACATTTACCATAATTTGACTTTGGGTCTGCAAAAATTATCCAAAAGGATTCTTCCATAGGTGAATTGGATTTTCTTGAGGCTTTTCACATTCACAAAGATTTAGCAGGTATAGTTAATGATTTGAAGTCCAATCCAGTCCTTCCTAATGCCTTTAAAATTCTACTATCTTAATTCCGTTATTTTTGCCGATAGATGGCGTTACCTCCTCGCGTTTGGTACTACCAGAGGGTATAAAATTCCATTCAGTGGTTGGTTTCCATTATTTGAAGTTCAGATTTTGAGCATGAAGGTGCATTTGCCCCTCGCTCCCAATTTTAACTTCTCTAATTTTTCTTGTCCTTTATGCTTGATCAGATATCCTGGCTCAGTAAAAGTAGGTGGCCAGTGCAACTCTGATTAAAATGCCAGTTATAACTATGTGCAGTGCTGATAAGGACCACGTATTTCTGAGACTCCTTCTCCTTTATTTTCTTCTTTCTAGGTATTTCTTTCTCCTGATGAGGAGGGACCTTTAGCTGCCCTCGAAATTGATTGAGTGTTTCATTATACTTATGCTAGATACAAGGTTGTTTTTATGATTTTGATTGTCACATTAGCATGTTTCTCTCCTAGTCTAGTTTGTGCTATCAAGCGGCATTTTCGAGAATATTTTACTGTTTATTGTTTTACCACGTGCACCACTTTATTTACTTCTTTCCACGTGGCTATTAGTTTTTCGGATTTGGTTTAGGCTATCAATCGGCATTTTCGAGGAAATTCTACTTTTTATCAGTTTACCACGTGCACGATTTTGACTTTCGTTGCTTCTTCCACGTGGCTATGGTTTTCAGTATTGGATGTTTCTCTCCTTTGGAATGTTTTTGTCATATGTTGATGAAAATTGTCTTCATATTTATTGGTGTTTTTCATGTTATAAGTAATTACTTGTTTGGACTTTCAGAATTATATTTCTTTTGTTCACTTGTTTCTTGCTTGTACCCTTTTCACAATATGTCCACTGACAGGAACCGATTTTGTAAGTTACGCCTAAGCGTATGAAATTCTTGAATCATCTACAGTTTGTACTTAAATGCAAACATCAAAATATCATTCCCAAATTTAAACATATGAAATGTAGCCTTAAAGCTTCCGTTCACAGTTAAAAAATTTTGCATAAATTCAAATTGGCACTTCTTCGTCATATTATAAGGGACATGCGCAAACGTTTATCTAAAATTGAATTTGAATTATATTACCTCCATTTAAAAATTACTAATTCAACTGAAAATTTTTCCTCATTTGAACATACATCCTGGTCTAGAACCAATATCATTTGTCAACGGCATAAAAATGTGCTTATTTCTAAATTCCTTAAACTCGCACACCAGTCGGATAGTCTCACCTATCTAGCTGATCTTCCTACTGTAAACGTTAACCCCATCGTTAATATCTCCAATAGGAATCTTTTGGAGGATCAGTTAAAAGTATTCAAATATAATTTCAACTTTTCAAAGACATCTAAACCTTCAATTTCTCAAATCATCGCCCCTATAGAGAAAGCCTTTAAATTCTCCAAAATTTCGGAAACGCAGAAGGATACTATCCGCCACCTAATTACTCATAACGTTAATTTTAACAACAAATCTTTGGGTTCGAATCTTAGCCAAAAGGAAAATGAGATCTTACGTGAAATTCATTCTGATACTAATATCATTATCTCTAAAGCTGATAAGGACGGACAGATCGTTGTTATGGACAAACACACCTATATTACTGAAGTCCCTAAACTGATAAATGAAGGCCCATGCTGCTCGATCCCTAAAGATCCTTCAACTTCGGACCTCATAAAGTTAAAAGTGCTATTAAATCTTCCCACATTCTGCCAACTCAGTTGAAGAAATCACTTATTCCACCTATTACTAATTGCGCTAGGCTTTATGCTCTTCCAAAAGTCCACAAAACTGGTATTCCTTTTCGACCAATTGTTTCCAACATAGGTACTGCTTCATATCCTTTGGCCAAATATTTAGTTTCCAGATTTTCTCTGGTTTTCCCCATGTGTAACGTGTATATGAGCCAGTTTCCCTTAGAAAGTCCTCCACAAACGCATCCCTCCCCTTAGGCAGATAGCCCTTGTGTGCTTTCCCATAATTAATATACACATACACCAGATTTTCTCCTCTTCTTGCTAACAATATTCACACTGTAAAAAATTCTGTTGAAGTCATTGACAAACTTAAAAATATTTCTCCACTTCGTTCCATTATGGTTTCATTTGATGTCAAATCACTGTTTACTAACGTTCCGGTCAAAGGAGCACTAAAATGTCTTGAAACCAGGCTTTCGGGAATTTCCATTTCCCACTGCTGAAATTGATGAGTTGGTTTCGCTTACTAAAGTTCTCTCTCGAGTCAAACCCACTTTGTTTTCTCAAAATAAATATTTTCGTCAAATTGAAGGATTGGCTATGGGTAATTCTTTCAGTCCGATACTTGCTGACATTTATATGCACTGTTTTGAGATGAAATTATTTGATAAACTATCTTTTCGTCTTTGGATTCGGTATGTTGACAACACTTTTGCACTTTTTGATGGTTATAAAGAGGATTTATCCGAGATTCTATCTATTATGAATTCAATTGATCCAGCCATCCAATTCACTCTTGAAATTGAATTCAACAATTCCCTCCCCTTCCTTGATATTCTTATAATGCGGAATGAAACTGATTTTAGCACCACTGTGTACCGTAAACCCTTTGCAGTTTGTTTACCACCCCATGCCAAGTCATGCCACCCTGTTAAGTAAAAAATGGCTTCTTTTTACTATTATGTATTCCGCGCGCTGAAAGTTTGTTCCTCTGAATCTTTGCTTACCAATGAACTTAATTATTTGAGAGCAGTTGCGATTGACCGTGGATTTTCTCCTCGTGACTATTGATAAAGCCGTTAAAAAAATTTTCAGATTCCCATCAAAGAAGACATTCCACTGTTAGAAATAATATTAATGACCTTGTCGTGCTTCCATTTTATCCTTCTGTTAGCTATAAAATTGCACAGATTCTCCAGAAATTCAATTTTCAAGTCGGTTTCTCCCCTATTAATAAAATTCACCCTTCGATTCTAAAAGATTGTGTTTCTGTCTTGAATTCTTGGGGAATTTATAGTATATCGTGTCAGTGTTGTTTAAGATATATTGGCCAAACAAAAAGAGTGTTGAAGTTTCGCATCAAGGAACATGAATCTTATGTCAGAAAAGGCGATATTAACAAGTCTTCAATAGCATATCATAGTTGGGCATTTAACCATAATTTTGACTTTGGGTCTGCAAAAATTATCCAAAAGGCTTCTTCCATAGGTGAATTGGATTTTCTTGAGGCTTTTCACATTCACAAAGATTTAGCAGGTATAGTTAATGATTTGAAGTCCAATCCAGTCCTTCCTAATGCCTTTAAAATTCTATCTTAATTCCCTTATTTTTGCCGATAGATGGTTCCTCGCATTTGGTACTACCAGAGGGTATAAAAATCCGTTCAGTGGTTGCTTTCCATTATTTGAAGTTCAGATTTTGAGCGTGAAGGTGCATTTGCCCCTCGCTCGATATTTTAACTTCTCTAATTTTTCTTGTCCTTTATGCTTGATCAGATAGCCTGGCTCAGTAAAAGTAGGCGGCCAGTGCAACTCTGATTAAAAAGCCAGTTATAACCACGTGCAGTGCTGATAAGGACCACGTGTTTCTGAGACTCC